ACAAACAAAAAATATGTATAAGGACATGCAGCTCTTCAAATATTCAGAATATAAATAGCGTTAATAGAATTCTTATGGCATTTTTTTCATATTTCACAATGTATATGTCATTGAACTAAATAAATTACGCACTTTTGAAGACGGCTTCAACGACAAAAAACGCACTTGGGAAAAAATTCTGTCAATAAATATTTTAAAATTTACGATTGAACTGAGGTCCTTCTTCGTAGTAATTAATTGAAGCAGTATCTTAAGGTGAAGCTTACCTCATTATTACACAGGACACAGTTGAATAAGACATAAGCGTGGTAAAAACGCTTCACAGGAAAACAACTGTGACGTCACATGAAAACTTACACAAACGAAATTGAGTATTAATTCAGATAATCTCTGCTACCAAACATATAAATATTATTATTGTAATTCCTGCTTCAAAAAATTTATCACAATGCATTGACTATAATGTGTTTTAATGTTTTAAAACTGACCAGGTAATCAACGTGTACTTGATCTCACTGCACTGAGAGATCATATATTTTTCCTGTACAAATTAGGCTCCGCCCCCTTTTTGTAGCCTTAACTGTGCTGCGTCCCTAGAGTTAAGAAAAATGTCCAGAAAAAAAGGGGGTTGAATTAAGTTCCTAAGTAATGCACACACCCCAACTTTTGAACAATTTTCTGACAAAAAAAATTACCTCCAATACACGTGACTTTACAGTCTTGATATCGCAATTATTTAACTTAATGGAACTCTTTCGCTGTAAAGGTAGGAAACGTCTGTTAGCTGGGGGCAATGTGCTGTTGCATACAACATGAGATTGATCATTGCGGATTTAAATAAGACAGATAAGAAAGAAGTCCTAGTGAAATATTTTGTGGAACATTCGCTGAACCACGCTAATAAAACTTGAGAGAAGCTAGTTCTCACAAGTTACATTTTTAGGTCACCTGAGGCACTCAGGTGACCTATTGCTATCTGTTTTCGTCCGTCGTCGTTCGTCGTGCGTCGGTCGTAAACTTTTGAACATTTTCAGCTTCTTCTCTTGAACCACTGAACCATTTTCAACCAATTTTGGCATATAGCATCAATGGGTGAAGGGGTACAAAAATAATGAATTTCATGGTCCCTGCCCCCCTGGGGCCTGAGGGGTGGGGCTAAAACCATTAAAATTAGTGCTATCTTTAAAAATCTTCTTCTTTACTCCTGGACATCAAGCAGTCAAACTTTTGGCATGATTGTAATAAACATTGAGCCCTCTACCAAAATTGTGAAATTCATGGCCCCAGGGTCAGGGGTTCTGGTGCTAGGGCGGGGCTATATAGATCATATAGTGAAAGTGCATTATTTCTTTGAAAATCTTTTTCTCTACTCCTGGGTATTATTGAAACAAATTAAATACATAGTTATGATAAGCAAGAGTGACTCTACCAAAATTGTGAAATTCATAGCCCCAGGGTCAGGGGTTCTGGTGCTAGGGTGGGGCTATATAGATCATATAGTGAAAGTGCATTATTTCTTTGAAAATCTTCTTCTCTACTCCTGGGTATTATTGAAACAAATTAAATACATAGTTATGATAAGCAAGAGTGACTCTACCAAAATTGTGAAATTCATAGCCCCAGGGTCAGGGGTTCTGGTGCTAGGGTGGGGCTATATAGATCATATAGTGAAAGTGCATTATTTCTTTGAAAATCTTCTTCTCTACTCCTGGGTATTATTGAAACAAATTAAATACATAGTTATGATAAGCAAGAGTGACTCTACCAAAATTGTGAAATTCATAGCCCCAGGGTCAGGGGTTCTGGTGCTAGGGTGGGGCTATATAGATCATATAGTGAAAGTGCATTATTTCTTTGAAAATCTTCTTCTCTACTCCTGGGTATTATTTAAACAAATTAAATACATTGTTATGATACGCAAGGGTGCTTCTTCCAAAATTTTGGATTTCATAGCCCCAAGGTCAAGGGTTCTGGTGAAAAGGGGGGGGGGGGGCTCTATTGATTATATAGTGAAAAAGCAAAATTTCTTTGAAAATATTCTTTTCTGCTGCTGGTTAAAAAGTCAATAATTAATAAATAATCAGAGAAATTATTTATGGAGGCTGGGGGGTCCAAACAAAAATTTCTTTAAATTTGATCAAATTGGCAGAAATGCTTGATATAATCATCAGTTACATTTTAGTATAAAAGACAACATCACAATCAACCTTAATTTTCAAATTTATTGCATCTTAGTATACTGCACATTACGTCAACATGAAAACATAACAAAAACAATATGAAACACAAATATAAAGTGGAAAGTGAAGCTAAGTGTATAGTTATGATGAGCAAGAGTGCTTCTTCCAGAGTAGTGAATTGCATGACCCCTGGGTCAGATGTGCTGGTGTAAGGGTGGGGCTCTTGATAATATAGTGAAAATGCATTAATTCTATTGAATAATCCTGTCTACTCTTAGTGTTAAGCAGATAAACAAAGTGATTACTTATGATGAGCAAACTTCTGGTCCCAGGGTGAGAGGATCTGGTGTTTCTTGCTGGGGAGGGGGGGGGGGGGGGGGGGGGTCTATTGATAGTATAGTGAATCTGTAATAAAATGCATTATTTCTTTAAAAATCTTCTCTGCACCTGGGCATATCAGAGGCAAAAAGAGTAAAAGTTTTAATAAGGAAGAGTATTTTTACCAGATTTTTGAACATCTGGACCATTTGGTCAAGTGTTCTGGTCCTGGCCAGGGCTCTATTAATTTGTATTCTACTGAGAGGAGTTATTCCCCTTTGCCATTTACTTTTGATAATTAATCACTGTAAATAATGTACTTGAAAGGTTAATAGAATAAGAGAATTATGCAAGAATTTTTATTGTATAATACAAAAAGTACTTTCATAGTTTTAATGATCAGGTATACTTGTAAGTAATAGATAAATAAAAATGAGACAAAAATAACTTGTCTTTTTAAATGTTCATCAAAGACCAAGACAAGCCAATGTAAGAAATTTCAACAAGGAATTAAAATAGTACAGAAGCACTGATAGTTTGCTAATATACTGTATGGTGATAGTGATAAATGGGGAACAGATTAGAATCTAATTTATGAACTGTTAATGAATACTAGACTAATTATTTTGTTGATCCTGATCACCCTATTTTCTTGCTTTTGGGCAACAAAGCTTCACCTTTCAGTTCATTTTATACTCTATGGATCCTCTAAATTGTTGTATTATACTCAGGTGACCGTTAAGGCCCTTGGGCCTCTTGTTATTCATACTTTTCACTAAGCCGACTCTTCCAATTAAATTCAAGCATTTCTTTCTGATAATCATTACTTTTGGAAGCTGATTACAAACTCAAAACATTTCTAGTTAGACAACCAATTATTTGTAGTTCAAACCTTTGCAACACATTGTACTTTCGGCATACTGATTGTTCGAATCATTTGATTGTTACTAGCGAAAACAATGTTATGCCCCGGAAATCTCGCGAGATTGAGAGTTTTCTTGACTTCGCCGCAAAAGAGCTGCATTAAGTTAGATAACTGTAAGGTAATCACAATACTAAGTATCACAATATACTGCAAATACTGACAAAGTGGAAAAAAGAGGGGTCTTAATTATATCGAAAGGCGAACATCAATTGTTTCATTGTAGGAAAGAATTGTTTTTCTAACCATAGACTTTAGCTATATATGTAAAGTAAAAAATCTAATACCCTTTCAGCTCTACATAATTTAAATAAATATTTTTTAACCACACTATCATTGTACATTTAATCCGTAATACTACTAAAATGTATTTCAGTCTATAGTAATTGAAGAAAACAAACATCTTAAAAATGAATATTTTGGTAATTATGCTGCAGTTGATTAATCAATCAACTTGGATTACTAGTGATGGGACATCGGTTAATTTTCATAATCGATCATCGGTTGGAATCGGTTACTGCTTCTGGTGCGATTTTACCGATTATAATCAGATTTCATAGTTTTGTATACAAAAAGCAGACTATTACAATTATTTCATATTATTTCTTTAACATGAATATATAAAATATATATTATTTTCTTTGTTGTTTTACTTCTTTTACACTTTCTAGGCCTAAAAAATTATGTTTATTTGTTTCCTGCAACATTTCCATAAAATCAAGGTTCGGTAGGTCGGGATTTTTTTTTTCTTTTGCTTATGAATAATGGGTTCAAACATCCCGGAACTGAATTATTCAGGTGTTATATTTACAGTGGACACCCAACATGGCTGCTAAGCAGCAGAAAACGAACTTCAAAAAGTTGTGGGGGGAATTGATTACTCTTTATATTTAAGGTAAATGTTGACTAAGTTGCATATCTTATATCTTAAATAAAAGATACAATTAATATTTTTTGAGTAAAAAGAATCAGCCGATTGATCAAACCAAAGAGCAAACACCGATTTGGCAGAAAAAAAAATCCACCCGGGGGTAAATTGAATGGGTCGGTCAGGTTACAGAAAACAAACAATTTTTTTTAGGCCCTATATATGCACCTTTCGGTTCTTAATCACTTCTGCTTTGTGCTAGCTGGCTAGTATCAGATGCAGACGCCATTTTCTTTCATTAAGAAGAAATAAATTTTAAACCAGAAATGGATAATTCAGGAATGTATTGTATTAGAAGTATATATTTCCAATGATTGATTATGAAAAATTATAATGGATCATCGGAATCGGTGGCATTTTTTTCGTCGACAATCGATGTTTTCTGATTATCGGTACAACACTATGGATTACATATTGTATCATCTCTCTGTTAACGATTTTTCGTTTTTGACATAATAACTAAATTTTGCAGCGACTGAAGTACATATATCCATGGTTAACACTGAACGCAAAACTGTGAACGCTGAGCACACGGTGAGTGAATGGAAAAATGGGAAATTAGAATGTTTCAGGGACTGTATAAAGAATGGATAAATTGGGAAGGAAAAGTATCCCAACTAACAAAACAAGAAAATAGTGATATTGCTCTTACTTTTCATCAAAATTACTGATGACCTCTTTGTAATCTATGTCATTTTGAACCAGTGCTTCAAATAATGGGGAATATGCACCAGGTTTTATGTCCAGAGAAAAACGGTCAATGATGTACAGAATGGCCATTGCTGAAACTGGATCTTTCTCTCTTTCTTTCACAAACTCTTCAACTTTTGGCATCAGCATATCCCAGAAGGCCTACAAGCAAGTTGTTCAGAAAAATGTTAGGCTATTCTTACATATATTCTTATAAATTCCCTTTATCAAACAACTCATATATGAAATTCAATAATTAAAAGTCATAAAGATTAAGTCACTTTACCACAAAATTAAAGTCTATTTAGATATTATAAATCAATGGAAACTTTAAGAATCATTCTTAATTAGGTTTGTCAAATAACAGCTATAATTAAAATATGAGCACATACTCTAATCCTTTCTTACCATGCCAATATGTCTTTTAAATTTCATATAATCCTGTCTCCACATTTTAAAGCGTTCTCCATAGTTTAGCCAGAAACCTCTGTGAATCATTTCCACACAATCCACAGCCTCTTTGCATGTAAGACTGGGCAAGTTTTTCCCTAACATGAATCCTTTCCACTTTGGAAAAAAATACTTCAGTGCAAAAACCATGTCATGGTTTAAATCCTCTTCATACTTATCACTTTTGAAAGTGCCAATGAGAAACCTGTAGTACCTGCTTTCATCCGGAATTCCAACAACAATTCCATCGAACCGATTGTAAGATTCTGTGAATAGAAATAAAGTGCAATGCAAGGGAACAAGACATGCATTTCAGGAAAACAAGTTGTCATAAACTATTTTAGGACCATGAAATACCATGATCCTTGCTGTGCAAGATATGATTTTGATGTTATTTGACTTACCAAAATTACAAAGAGAGGCAAACATGACCCACTTTCAAGACACAACTTCTTTTTAAGATCCGTAAACTGATAAGGTTTGCTAATTTTTACTCTAAAACTGTTCAAGATACAGATCCTGAAATGTGCTACTACCCCATCCCTCTGAATGATCTAGGTCTCACTGAAGGCAAAATATGTTGTCAATGACTATCTAGAGCAATAAATTTCATAATGAGGTCAACACCACCAACTATTGGCTTGCAATTTCCCCCCCCCCCCCCCGCCCCCTTGAATGAGCAAACCACACCAACTACTTTTTGGTTTGCAACATATCTTCCCCCAGTAGATGCAACAAATTCCCAGGTTTGATGACCATAGGCCTCTCATTGCATAATGACCTTGATATCCCTCTTCAAAATGGGAACATAGACTGAAATGTTATACTTTTTCTAGCATTTAAATTTCTATTTCTCTTCAAGATGTTCTTTTGACTGATATTAATATATCTCACTGGAGCTCTTAAAAATCAGGAATTCCCTGAGTAGATGTACCTGTATTTGTAGGAATGACTAATTGCCTTGCAGCTCTGTAATTGTATCTGTGATCATAGACAAATTCAAAACACTCCCAGCTCTGGAGTCCATCTGGCAACACAGAGTAGTTATAATACAATGTCTGATGGGCTACTTTCCTTGGTACATGAATGGCAACTTCATAGTAGACATAGTTAGTTTCTGTGATGCTGAAAAATAAAACGATCTTCTCTTCATATGCAAGCTCATAATCATAATTATACCAACATTCATAAAACAAGATATCATTCAGAAGATGACCTCTCACAGGGTCCTGATTTCAGTAAGGGACATTAGAACGAAAGGGACTTGTAAAGACTGTGCTTTGAGTTTGACCTTGACCTTTACCCAACATCTTTAAAAACTCATGGGAGCACTTTTTGTGAAATATAAGGCAGATGGGACAAAGTTGAGAAAACAATATTTAATGATAAGGATTTCAAGAAGAGAAGGGGCCAAGGGGAGAGAAAATAAACTCCTGACAAGGATTTTTTCAGAGATCCTTGACCTTAACCTTTGATCAAGAACTTTGGTTCAAGGTCACTGCACATTCATTCCCCACACACAATGTATGGGTAAAGTTTGAATATGATTGAGCGAAAGGGAAAGATAAGATCTCCAGACACCAATTTTTCACAGAAGTGTTTTCATATCTTGACCTTTGATCTTACAAACTTATATCACACTATGTAATGAAACTTTCACATAATTTTCAATTTTCTGACCCACTAGTTTTTGAGAAGATTTTTGAAAGATGTCATTAAATTTTAACTAATTCTTAATTATCTCCCCTTGAAAGAGGGCATGACCTTCATTTGAACAAATCTGAATCCCCTTCATCAAAGGTTGCTTTATGGCAAGTTTGGTTGAAATTGGCCCAGCATTTCTGAAGAAGAAGATGAAAATGTGAAAAGCTTACAACAATGACACCAACAACAAAGGACAAATTTTGATTAGAAAAGCTCACTTGAGCCTTCCGCTAAGGTGAGCTAAATATCTCCCGACAAGTGATATCAGACAGACAGCTGGACAAACTGATCACTATAAGGCACCCTCAGAGTGGGTCACCAATACATATAATAAGATTAAACTGTAAGAATAATGCTCAAAATATATGCAAAACAAAAATAAATGTATACCTTATTTTCGCGAGAAAGCTAATTCATAATTGGTATTTAAAAATGAGACAAAATTTTGGCAAGCTGTGGTTATTGTTGTATATAATATTATCAATACAACAAGAGGCCCATGGGCCACAACACTCATCTGAGTCAATATGGCCCTGCTGTTCTTCGTCAGCAGATTTCTTCTATATATTTATATGTAAAAAGCTTTGATTGCCTGTTCTAGGCATACCCTACCCCCAGGTGCCATGTTTGGAATGAAATTAAACCTTAATTTTCTGAGGATGCTTCCATATCAATATGACTAATCATGGCTTTGTTGTTCTTGAGAAGAATATTTTTAAAGATATTTCCTATACATGTTCTTTGTAAAACTTTGATCCCCCATTATGGCCCCACCCTACTACTGGAGGATGCCTTGAACAAACTTGAATCTACAATACCTGGGGATGCTTCCATATCAATATGACTAATCATGGCTTTCCTGATATTGAAAAGATTTTTAAAGATTTTTCCGATATATTACTATGTAAAACTTTGATCCCCCATTGTGGCCCCACCCTACCCCCGGGTAGGGCTGTGTATTGAGCAAAAAAAATCGATATGATACGATACAATATTTTATAATGCGATATCCGATATATTGGATTCTTTAACAAGTCTATCAAAAAAGTCTTATAAATCATTTAATGCATGAATTTAAAACAAAAAATTATTGTTTTATAATCCATTTCAAAGTTCTTGTCTCACTGTCATTACAAATTACATTTCAAATTCAAACTTTTAATGACTGTGAAATCAACATGTTAAAATAAAGTTGTCTATGTATTTTGTAATATTTATCTAAGATGTGCTATCTGCTTACTGGTTATATCATTATTGATCTATTTTAATTCAAAACAGGGAAAATATAACCTTTGGTGATTGAAATTAATTCCCAACTTTTTCACAGAATTATCAGAAAATCTGCCTGTCCGATACGTATTGGAAGTTATTTTTTCGATACGATACATTCTTAAATATCGATACGTATAAGGGTCATGATTTGAACAAACTTGAATCTACACTATCTGAGGATGATCTATATCAATAAGACTAATCATGGCTTTCTTGTTCTCGAAAAGATTTTTAAAGATTTTTCCTATATATTCATGTGTAAAACTCTGATCCCCCATTGTTGCCCCATCCTACCCCCGGGGGTCATGATTTGCCCAAATTACAATCTACACTATGAAATGAAGGTTTCACATAAGTTTCAACTTTTCTGGCCCAATGGTTCTTGAGAAACTTTCACCAATTCTTAATTATCTCCCTCTTAAAAGAGGACAGGGCCCTTCAATTGAACAAACTTGAATCTCCTTCAACCAAGGATGCTTTGTGGCAAGTTTGGTTGAAATTGGCCCAGCGGTTCTGGAGAAGAAGTCGAAAATGTGAAAAGCTTACAGACAGACGACAGACACACGGACAGATGACAGACATACGGACAGACGGACTACAGACAAAATGTTATCAGAAAAGCTACTGGAGCTTTCAGCTCAGGGGAGCTAAAAATATGTGAGAATGAAATTTTTGCGAGCAGACAAACATGCATAATTATGTGAAAATAAAGTTCTTTTGAATAAAAAGTGATTTACAGTAGTTTGTAATTTTGACCTCTGATCACTTTTTTGAAAACAAAGCCATAAGACTCACTCCTTAGGGTGCATTCTGTAACGTAGTAAATCCCATTGGCCAGAAAATGTGTCTTGAAATGAGATGAAAACAGAATCTCCATTGGGATTTTTTACAAGGTCTTTTGACACCAAGACATGGAAATGCACTTCAACTGTGGCAGTCCTTGTTAAACTCCTTGTAACTGGTCTAAATGTAATAAATAAAAATGTATTTATTAAAAGTAATTACAATGAAAACATAATTCTGTCTGACATGTACTTCACTACATTAGGACTTAATGCAAAATGACAAAAAATGTATGCCAATAAAATTATGGGACCATATCTGGTCATAATTTAGTGATGAGTGAATCTCAACCTGGATGTAAAATTTGCAGCGACTGTGTTTGCCGATAATCAATTGATCTAATTGTTGATAAGTCTTGGAAAATTACCTTGTATATTAACGGAACAAAATAGTGAATTTTTAGATTTGTTCATTTACTGTAAAGGTGGATATAGATGTAAATGCAATTTGTTGAACTGCAGCTTAATCAAAGAAGTTAAAACTGATATTTTATCCCAAACTGTACTATAAAATAAAATTTAATGTGGTCCAGATGAGGATTATGGTTACTCGAGAAATGTACCAACTCCAAAATCTTTCTACAAATCTTCTTAAAACACTCCTCTACACATGTACTTCAGAATGCCTTTCCTTTACACAGTTGATGTTAACTCACCGATTTGATGCAGCTGCTGCTGCATAGCTGAGTTTTTGGTTTTCTTCTTTGAAAGATGAAGAATCTCCTTTGTCCTTAAATAATATTGAAAAAATAAGTGTCAAAATGATGGAAAATGTTTTTTAAAACAAAACAAATCTTTGACAAGTAAATAATATGAATAAATAAAAATCATTGAATAACATTTCATTACCTCATTTGATTTATTCTGCACATTTGTGTTATCATCTTTTCCCATAAAAACAACGGGAATTTCAACTCTCCCTGGTTGTGTAGTTACTGTTGTTTTCTGTTGTGAACTATTCCCTTCAAATGATGACTGTTTACCTCCTACAGATGGTTGCTGACCTCCAGATGACTGAGGCTGACCTCCAAATAGAAGCTGACCTCCAGATGGTGGCTGACCTCCAGATGACTGAGGCTGACCTGCAGATGGTGGCTGACCTCCAGATGGTCGCTGACCTCCAGACAGTGGCTGACCTACAGATGACTGAGGATGACCTCCAGATGGTGGCTGACCTCCAGAAGACTGAGGCTGACCTCCAAATAATGATGAAGTTTGACCTCCTCTTAATGAAAGTGTATCTCCAGTTGATAACAGATGACTTCTAGATGTTGATGGTGGAGTCCTTTCTTTGCTGTTTTGTCCATTATCATCTCCAGATTCTCTAGACCCCTTACTTTCTTTCAAAGTTTGTGACTTTAATTTCCTATTTTCTTCTGTTTTGTCATTTTTACCTTGTGGTTTTTGTACATCAGATAGTTTTGATTTTTCTATCTTTCCCTTCTCAAGTTTTTGAGATGAAGCAAATTCATTCTCACTTGCATTGTTGTCAGCTGATTTTGCTGGCAATTGCCCTTTCTTCTTTTGGTATTCTAACTTTTTCTTCTTCTTTCGTCCTTGATGTTTTTTCTTTTTGCTTGTTCCGCTTTTTCCTATACTCTCAGAATGTTCTTCTTCATCATTTCCATCATCATCTTCATCATCATCATCATCCTCTTCATCCTCTCCATTTTCATCATTCCCCTCCTCAACACTCTCTTCTTCATTTGGTTGTGAACCATCAGCTTTATTCCCATTCTTATCATCTCTGGCACCTTCCACTGACAAGTGTAATCTCTTGCTATCATCTGGGAATTCTCTTTCTGGAGATTTTCGTTTTCTCATCTCCAATAACTGAAAACGTTCAATCACATTTTGCTCATCAGTTTCTTTATTTTCCTCACTCTTTTTCCAGCTAGGCTCACACACTGAGTTCTCTGTAGAAAGAGATCCACTATCTTTTACTTCTTGTTCATTTTCTTGTTGCATTTCCATGACTTGATCTTTTTGTCTGTCACCTGTCTTGCCTTCTATATTTCCCTCTGTTTGGTCCATTTTCTTATCTCCTTTTTCATTGGGTTTTTCCACTTTTCCATCTCCAACATTTTCCTTTCCACCACCAACTCCCTTTCCATGATCTTCCTGGAAATTTTCAGCAGGTGGATTCATCTCCCATCCACCAGGTGGTTTTTCCACAATCTCCATAGAATCAAGCATGCCCTCACTCTCACCTCCCCCTCCTTCCGACTTTGAGATTTTATCCTGGGGTGAAGACTCTGCTTCCTGAGTAACAGATTTCTGAGAAGAAGACTTTGAGTCTTCACTAAATTTTGGAAAACCATTGCAGAAATCTGAACTGTTCTCCAAATTGGTAGCTTTTTCATAACTATCTGTTCTTCTTAATCCTCCATTACTTTGAGTTAAATCCACAAATTCAAAGTCCATGTCCTGGTCTGTTGGTTCTGGTTGATCGTTACTTGACTGTTGTCTTTCATGTCCCTGGGTTAAATCCTCTTCTACTCCTGCCACCACCTCCTTCTCTACTACTGGAGGGACTAAAAATAAAAACACATCTTGATTTATACTGAATGAGCATTAAATGAATGGGTACACTTTTACTTATCAAAATTTTCTTATCTGCGAAAAAACATTTGCACTGTACTCGTTAAAACAAAATTTCTACAATGTTAATCTTTGTGGCACTGTGTAAAACATGGACTGTAGGTAATGTCAGAAAGGAATTCACGTCTTTGAAATTATAACCAGCAAATGCTTAACTTTTTAAAATTAAACATACTGAATCTTATGATGTTGTTTCCCTGTATGGTCACAATTATATTAACAGAAATATTGCACCTTATTTCCTATCTAGCTTGTAACACGAGCTTTGATTGGTTACTAAGCCGGTGTTAATTTCCCTACACCCAGCTTGAGCAGGGAGTTAAAAAACATGACGTCACAATGCATAGTTTGCTTTCACAAAAAGCAAATAACATAATGTCATGATGCTTTGTTGCACATAGTAAATCTTATCTGTAGTTTGAAACACCATTGGTTGGACTTGGGTTTACAAAGAACTTATTTGGTTACATAGGAAATAACTGCGCTATCCAGGTCCAATCAAGGATGTACAGGGATTTACCCCAGGTTTAATTCCATACACCCTTCGGCCTCAGGGTGTATGGAATAAAACCCAGGGTAAAAACCAGCCCTTGACAAGATATCCCCTCCATAAAAATTTGTACACACACAAATTAGAAGAAAGATCTGTTTTCTTAAGTTAATTTACCCTTCCTTCTTCAACAAGCTCTTAGGTGAGATGGAAAAAGTCAATCATTGAAAACAAATTTTTCTTCAATCATTGCTTCATCCGGAGTATAATCTTTATTCATAAAATATAAAGCATCATTTCCTCTGAGATGACATTTTGTTAGACTGTGGGAAGGCTAATATGTGAACTGGAAAACTGAAATTTTTTTCTAGTTACAAAACCATGTATTTGTTGTACTTGTTGTATAAAGATTGTTCTGCAACAAGGAAATACTTGTGAATGCTAAGGCAATTTGCAACTGGCTTAGACACCAAAATTAAAATGATGTAGAAAGGGGAAGAAAGTCAATTACAAGTATGTATTTATATCTCTACCTACCAGTACATACTGTAAACCAATTATTTTTCACAGTATCTTTTATTTGCCATTCGAAGGTTTGAATTCCCTCCGTGATTATTACTTTTCATGACTTGGAAATTTTATACACATAAACAAAATTAAAAGTAATGGTTCAGGACGAGAATTATTCATAAGTAGAAGAAGATTACATAACTCATGGATATTTCTGGCACACAAATAATAAGCGGTTTTTAGTATACTAGTATTTTCAAACCTAAGCACGTAAGAATGGAATTCTGATGAATTTAAATTTTATTCTTACTTGTTGAAGCAGAGGCTCCAAAGCCTGGAGGATTTCCACATTCTGAGCAAAACTTGACATCTGGAGTTACTATGTTACCACATGGTAACCGTTCTCTGTTTTGTTCGATTCCCTGGCACATAAAAGCCCCTGGCAAGAAAACTTTAGGATTGACTTTCCAGCCACATTCTACGCAGAACTTCTGTGAGTTCTCAACTGGTGTTCCACAAATACTTGACACTCGCCTCCTATTCTGAATGGTATTAGGACAAGGAACGGTCTGTTTGTTTTCCGTCCCTTGGACTCCCACCTTTGTTCCACATTCTGGGCAAAATTTTGTACTGCCCGTCAGTGGGAATCCACATTCACACTGCATGATATTTTCCTATCTCATGAATCTAGGGAAAAAAAATTTCTTTTTTCAATACCCAATAAAGTGTAACAATTTAATTTTAATTCATTAATATATGCCCCAACTTAAGTATGAATTTAGTTTCTTTACTCTCATATGGTTGTGCATAAAAAAGAATATTTTAACCACAAGGATTATTTTCAATCTTTTTTTCTCTTTTAAATTTATTGCTATTTTTCTTGGTATCATGTTTCATTTAGTACAGGTATCAGATCTGGTGCATCACCTTCCCTCTTTCGAAGTCTTAAATATAGTGTAACAGGAAGAGAGATCTAGAAAATGTGATGCATCAGACCAGGACCCAATGAACTCCAGACTAGAAAAGTGCTCTACCTACTGTGCTCTATCAATGAATAAACCATATTCCTCCCTCCTTAAATGTTTTGTCTTCAAAGACACCTACCCAGGCTCTTCCCTGGCCGATTTTTTTTTACCTGTCCTGTCCATTTCAGAACATGGAACCTAGCACCAAATGTACCAGGAAAATAAATGGTAGATCAGACATAGGGACTTCAACCTGGGTCCCCTGGACTCTAGAAACATGTTCTATAAACTTTGCCTCAGGTGAACACACCTACCTGAATACCATATTTGGAACAGTGATTAGTACCTCACAATCATTATATATTGACAAAAAGATAAATAATTACTCATGAAAAATTGTAAAGTAGTGTAAAATATTTACATTCATTATACATGGATTTTTATTCACTCACACAGTTTATTTGCAACTGTGATGGTAGGCATGTTTGCTTGGTAGTGGCTATATAGCTCAGTTGGTCTGTTGGTTAAGTGCGCTTTTTCTAGACAAGAGTTCAAGTAAAATCCTGGTACGGGCCATCGCATAAATCTATTTTCTCTTTAAACATGCACAGTGATGTACATATAGATTTAGCTATTTCCATTTGTCCCATTTAATAATTAAAGAATAAATAAATAAAAAGAACAAAATATGAAGACAAAAATGGGTGGAACATTTTTCATTAATCATTATACAAAATGGACACGGTCACCAGCGACAAAATCAGACATTAAATGTTAAATAATCTGACATGATTTATAACAATATACCTGAGTGTGTGATGATATCCAGTATTCACATTGCAAACAATTAATTTAACCTTAAAAAAAGTCATTTAATGTATCCTTCGTTTTGTGATCAACTTTCATTTCCATTCTGCTTTCAAAAATTGTCGACGATATGACTGATAATCTGATAACGGGCTTTGAAATTCCCAATAATTTAAAAGGAAACTAACAATTAACAAATCGAAAGTAACACGAAATCTTATTCCTTATCATATATGTGCCATCATTAGGTGACAACATTTTTCATTAACCAAATTAATATATTTTACCGATTTTTTATACATTCGAGACATTCCTGGCATTAGACTAGCTTTTCATGTCATTAAAAATTCACTACGTAGAAAGGCATGTACAACTACAAGTAAAAAAATGCTGACAATGTGTCTTTCATAGTTTGGCAGCATTTAAAATAATTCTTCAGCAAAGATATTCGATAAACCTGAATGAGTTGAGTACTTACTGAAATACTTTAAAACATTCTTGCTGAATCATGCACTGACAAAGCCTAAACTAAAATTAATCAACAATGGGGTCTTTCCTTAGAAGCCCACTTTCGTTTTTGTTTTCCACGGCATGATCGCGGGAATCTTCCCCCATTTAGAAAACCCAAGACGACCAAACCTACTATTTCCGAGATACTCAGATCTTCTCTCTCATCGTCGCAAATCACGGTTTTGAGTCCACAACCTACCTAGAGAGAATCAATGTGAATCACCCGTGGGTTACCGACGATGTCTTTCGTTTTTAAAAATGAACTTTAAAACAGAAAAATAAGTGCGTTTTTTTTTTTTTTTTTGGGGGGGGGGGGTGTTGGAAGAAGACACCCATGATCGAGTAAAACATGTACTCGAAGTACTTGTATATGTAACCCCCCCTCCCCCCCTTCATCCACTTTCTATGATTTTTTTAAAAACACGATAGCTTATCAAAATGCAAAAATATCCGTCAGAATGTGATATTTATGCAGTTCTGATCAGTTAATGTGATGATGTTCATGCAGAATGCGCGATTTTGCTTTTTTCATTAAAAAAAAAAAAAGAATGCACACGAAAAAGAAAACAACTAAATGAATTGATAAATAAATGAAGGCTCTTTCTCTCTCTCTCTCCAAAATACTGCATACACCCATGGAGATCCGAGAAATATTTTATTTAAAATTGATATACATCTATACATGTATACATTACATAGAACTAAATTATACACTGCATTGCATGTTTGAAAATATCATTAGTCTGTCATTTGTTAATAAATTAAAATTGAATTCTTTCGATATACATCCTAAAGTCCACATATGGTTATTGGCATGATGAATCATTCTGAAAATTTATCCATGAATACACTTTCCGCATTCTGCACAGAATTTATTACTGGAAGTTACAATATTGATGCACAATTCTTCATTTTCCGAGATGCCGTCACACATCTTGGACCCCACCAGGAAAACTTTAGGATCCACCAACCAGCTGCATCTATTGCACTTTTGCTGTGTGTCAGCTATCACAGCACCACACGATTCCGCGGACCTCTTCCCATCAAAGACTGTATTGGGACACAGGGCTGTGGGGGTCGAAATGACCCCCGTCTGCCTTTTCTGGCCACATTCTGGACAATATTTTACTCCATCACCCAGTTGCACACCACATCCACAATTCATGACCCTGTATTAATTATATAAATAAATCGAACTCTAAAGCAAGTGCATGTACCATTAATTCTGCTTTTATCGTCGTTAAATTTGTTTATAAGTAAAACATCTATATATTTATATATTCTAGCGATTAAATTTAGAGGGTATCCAATTTACATGTAGACCTGCGTTTAGCACGCAAGTTCAATTGAAATCATTTAGAAAAGATTTTTTAAACAAACCCATTTCCCCCAATCCTGGTACAAGCTTGGGACTATAAGTATTTAATTTGTTTAGATTTATTTAAATTTCATGGGAGAAAAAAAATGGATTACTTTTTTTTTTACATTTATAGTAAACAAATAAATAAATACATAATACAAAATACATAGATAAATAATACTTTAAAGTACCAATAACGTAAAGGTATATACCATTGCAAATGACTTTCGACCATTTGATTCCGGGGGGAAGGGGGGTTCCCATCGAGTCAGATAATTTATATTCGTGCCTTTACAGGGGGGAATATTTATTTCCAAGAGGTCCAAAAACAGTTTAACGTTTATTTTCTCAACTAAGAAATTTTGACAACTCACTTCCATGGAGGAAGGGGGGGGGGGGTCTTGAGCATCAAAACTCGGTTTAATACTATAGGTTAAAAATAATTATTATAATTTCAGAAACAAGTGCCTGTGGCGAAAAACCTATATTGCAGGACGATAAATTAAAGATTTTTCATGGACAAGCATTCACATTTATTACCCCTCTTACTAATTATCAACTTGCGAGGGGTTCGTGTTTCCCAAGGGGTCAAAATTAAGTTTTTATTTTTTGTTACTTTACTCTTTATTAAAACTACAAATTTGGAGGCAGTTGAACAACCCTATAGACTCTCCAGAATTAGTTAAACTGCACTTCAATCAAAACTTTGATAAAGTTTATCAAAATGTAAAATAAAGTATACGCTTGAATATCTATATATTACATCAGCGTTACCTCTACTCTTATACACTCGGCACACCTCGGCCGATTCGTAGGTGACGGAATCAGCCGAGGTTTGCCGAATGTACTCTTATAGTCTGTTTTCTTGCACAAAATTCTTAGAATTCAAAATTCGTTTTCTAGCGAATTAAAGTGAAACTACGTCCCATTTTCCCATTAGTTCGATTCATGCATGGCTTAATCTTGCTACAAAAGTATAAATTTCAGATACCTCAGGCATAAATTTACATATTTTTAAATGCAAGATCAAAGAGGGTTCATATACACTCACATGTATATGTTAAGCTCGTGAATTAAAAATTTAGATAAAATTTAAACTTTTAATGTAACATATGTACAATAATTACAGAATGAAAAGTTACTATACTATAGTATCTTAATACACAGCTACATACAGTTCCATTTTGTCCGCATAGTAAAGAAAAACTCAATAAAAAGAAATTAATTTTGCGCGCTTCGGCTTTATGTGTAATTTCGTACTTACAATGGACTTAACAAAGTGGGTGCTTTAAATGCTGACAGTTGCACACAAACCCGCCCACATATCAAGTATGTTTCCAGAAATCTATATACGGGATATATGCACTTTCGTTTTAATTTTGCGTTAAACTATTTTTAGTTCATTATTAGAAAACCACACGGAAAATTTGTATGATTATTTTATACAGTTGTTAGGTACGCCAAGAAATGTCAAATCTAAAGATGGAGAGAAAGGATTCGGACGCAGATATCGATGAAATGGAAGTGGACAATGAAGAGGATTTGTTATCTTCTTCAGAGACAGAGAAGACGTCCGTCAAGAGGAAGAAAGATGATGATGATGCTGATGAGGAGGACGATGACTTGTTAGGAGAGGAATTGGATAAGTTAGATAAATTACTGTTGTCTGATAGCGATGAGGAAGAAACAGAAGAGAAACAAGGAGGTATGTTTAACCTCATAATGATTTCGTTTATTGTTTACCTGTATAGAGTGTGTTACTTTAAAATTATCCATCGTATATATATCTTGGGTTTAATATCCGGGTTTTATTAATCAATGAAGAATGTATATCAATATATATAACTATATGCTATCGGTTGTTTATCATCCTTTATTTTTGATAAAAACATATACAAGTGGGGGGGGGGGTCTAGAATTGCCTGGTAGATGAGAGTGGGGCAGACTTGGACCCCCCCCCCCGCGCCAAACTATGGGATAAATTTAGATTTAACACCCATGAAGCTCTTTGTTGTTTACTTTTTCGTAGTTTTCAACGAAAAAAAAGAGAATATGTTGGATTGGTTTTATAGATAGTGTTAAGGATGTCTAATTTGCGATTAAATGTTAAATTGGGAAAGGGTGGGTCCCCCCCCCCCCTTGGTCTTGGTCTTGCAAAGCCATTTAAAACTTGTGGTTTTGCACGATTTTGAAAATCTGGCATAAAATGCAGCGGTATATTTTCTATTACCTATCTCTTTAGATTTCAAAATCGTTATAACGGAGATGCGCCAAGTTTTTCTGTGCTTGTAATGGGAAAAAACGTGACAGAAAATGCATACGAACTGGGGGGGGGGGGTAGCTCTTCTAAATTGGCCGATAACTTTGACAATTTTATTGCAAAACAAGACTTTGAACAGAACTGAATAGAAGATAATGTAACATGAGCTTCGCAACTTCCTTGTTTTATTAAAAAAAAAAAACAATAAAATAAACAAACTGTGTCACATTTGAAAACACACAGACGAATGGATTTTTCCTAGTGTTTTTTTTTTTTTATATTATTAATTAATTATTTTTTTCCCCTTTGCAATCTTCCTGTCAGTCATTAGTTCAATTAATACAAAAGTTAAACATAACTGATGCTTGAAGTCGCACAATTATTATTATTCAATGATAAATGTCACAGACCCTTGTTTCTGTAATCTTTTTTACCCATAGTATTTTAATATGTTGTTATTATATTATGGGTTAAAAAAATGATTACAGAAAAAGTGCTTGTGGTTTCCGATCCGAAGTCAAGAGTATAGATTTTTGATCAGAAACCCTTGGGTAGAGAAGATGTTAACATACCGATATTATTTACTTTATTCTAGTAAGTAAAACAAAAGTAGAAAAAAACAAACTATATACATGTAGTACTTACTTTAGCATGTATACTATTGGTTTCTATTGGCAATGCAATGATTTTTTTTTTTAATTTCGTTTTCATTTCAAGCCAAAAACCAAATTAAATCCACTTAAATTAGCATTCTGTTCTATTTTGATTTTGCCTTCAATGAATTTTAATACTTTAAAAAAAAATTTAGCCCTAAAACCTCGAGGATTAAATCTTCGTCCCTATCAAGAGGAGCTAGCAGAGACGGCTAAACAGGGGGAGAATACTATCATTTGCTCCGGGACAGGCACGGGCAAAACACGTGTAGCATTTGCTATCATCAAACACCATCTAGAAAAGCATCCTCATGGTAAGACTTTCAAATATATCTGCACAGTATAAAGCACTGTTCTTCTGTCCCCTAAAAGACACATAGTTTTTAAAATCTAAAACTACCGTATAAGCAGAAATTTTAGCGGGGATTCAATTTTGGCATTTTTAGCGAGGGTGTTGAGATCGCTAAAATTAAACATGGCTAACAATTTATTCCCACATTTCAGCTGGTTACTGTTACCTTTCAAGGCATCACAAAATCGCTAAAATTCCTTCTCGCTAAAATAAACTACAGATTTTTGAGGAAAATATCGCTAAATTTGCGTCTCGTGAAATTCCATTTATACGGTTTTTCTTTATAGGTAAAGTAGTCATAATGGCTCCAACTGTACCCCTCGTGAATCAACATTATCTGGCTCTGAGGGAACTGTTGCCTCACTTAGAGGTAAGGACAGTCCTATACAAGAGAAAAATCAGCTCTGATAAATTACTGTGAATTTTGCAATTTTTTGTCAATATTTTTAACTGCAGAAAAAATTTAACGTGTGTCTATAACTCAGTGGATATTATTAATGATATGAAACTAAATTAATCGTACATCTTTCAGAAATCACTATAAATATTTAATTTAAAGAGAAGAGATTTAATTACTATTATTGATTTTCATCTTCATAAAAAGGAAATACATGTAAATCTAATCAATTTTTCCTTCAATTTCCGTAGTTAAATTCCATCATCCCTATTTTTCAAAGTTAGAGATCAATATAATTTTTATTTATTTGCTAGGCAATACAGCTAAACTTCGAAATCTCGAACATGGATATCTTGAATACCCCGGATATGTCGAAGTAAGGCCGCGGTCCCGACGAAATTTGCTTTATAAATGATTAAAATAAACCCCTCTATATCGAACACGGTAACGTCGAATACCCCGGTTATCTCGAATTATTTACATTTGTGGTATTTTTCTTTTATATGAACATACTAAAAGCTGATATGTTCAATTCTGTATAAACTTTATTTGGGGGTCAGAGGTCAATTTGTGACCAAATCACATGGCGCAATAATACATGTATCTACATGCAATAGGACTACTTTCCACATGTAAACATGTAAAAGTAGGTCACAGACTTAAAAACAAAATACAGAAGTTAATAACATACTGATCCTTATATTTACAGACATATTTACACAAAAAGTTACTTTTCTTGAATAAAAACTATGAAATTAACAGAAAGATTGCATTATTCATAATGTTTAAAGTACTCGTCTGCTTCTACCTATACATGTAAAATCATGGCTGAGTTTGGAGAATTTGATATGGGTGGCCAAGAGATAGTTGAAGAGCTTTTTCAACTTTTTGATACAGAAATTATGGATAATTTAGATTTAACAAGCCTAGAGTCTGTTTCCTCCATCCCAGATCTCGAGGAAATGAATGAAAACTTGAAAAAACCCGCGCTTACTTGTTTACCTGAACCCGAGACCCCAGCAGAGTGTAAAATTTTGACAGTTCCTACTCAAAATAAGCGGTTCAAATCATGTTCTGCAGCTGATTTACAGGAATTTGAAGATGCTCGGCAATCAAAGTCAACAAAAAAGAACACTAAGTGGGCGATAAAGCTATTTCAAGGTAAAAATTATATTTTTTGACAGTAGGCCTATAGTGAAAAAGTACAAATATTCCTGTTATCAATATAATGCTGCCAGTTAATTCCCTTCCCAATTTTGATTTTAATAGAATCTAAAAATTAATAATTACAGATTGGCACATTGAGGTTTATAAAGAACCACTGGATTTTGAAAATATTACGGTTGAGGAGCTAGCTGATCGGTTAAGAAAATTCTACTGTGAAGCCAAACCTAAAGAATCTGTTAAGCGGCAAGAAAATTTAACATCTGTACAGTTTGAAACTTATCACAAAAACACATTAAAAAATCTTCGATCTGCCATCAACCGTCACTTGCAGAACATTGGAAGATCATTTGACATTGTCCATGATAAAGAGTTTAAATCTGCAAATCACACGCTTGATGGTATGCTTAAGTTCATGACAAGGAGTGGAGCCTCCAGGCCAACTAACCATAAGGAAGTGATAAACAAGGATGACCTCATTAAAATATCTTCCTACTTCAAAGCAGCCCAATTTTCTCCTATTGTACTAAGGCAGTGCGTTTGGTTTAATCTTTCTCTTCAATTTGTCTCTCGTGGGCTTGAATTTCATCATCAGCTTCGTATGGATTCTTTTAAATTTCTCCATGATGAGGATGGGAAAGAATATGTTGTCCTGCGCCACGAGACACAACAGAAGAATTTCCAAGGCGGACTTAATACCGACGAAGCTCCAGCTGACAAACGTCTTTATGCTATACCTGACTCACCTTCTTGTCCTGTCAAACTGTTGCGTCTCCTGATGTCTAAAACTGATAAAGGAGCTACAAATCTCTTCAATATCTGTCTGAAGGATGCACTGTCCTGCCCTACTGCATGTGACATTTGGTATTCTGCCAAAGCACTACAAAAACAGTCCTTTAGTGGCTTCATGAGGGACATCTGCAAGTCTGCTAAATGTCAAAACACATATACACCTCACTGTTTACGTGCGACCGCCATCAGTGCCATGAATGAAGCCGGCTTTGAATCTCGTCAGATAATGTTTATGTCTGGACACAGGTGCGAAGCGTCCCTAAAAACGTACAACAGAGATATGTCAGTACAACAGAAGAGAATGGCTAGCTCTGTCTTATCTACAGTGTCTAATCCTGACTACATCAACCAAAACATCAATGTTTCCTTACCTAACCGCCAACTTGCTCTTCAACATGCTCAACCCGAAAATCCTCAGAGAGCTCTGTCCAACCCGCTTGTTCCTCTCGCTGAACTATCATCCACGCAGACTTCTGTTGATATACAGTCACAATCGACAGTTAGTTCATCAAGACTGACGGAAATCCTCACCAAATCCACTTTCAATAACTGCATTTTTAACATAAACCCGAACGTCTAAACACTGAGAATTTGAAGCGTGGTCTTGGCCTGTTAACTCCTCGCGGAAGGATGTGACGAAACGTTTTACAAAAAAAAACGTTTATTTTTCAAATATTAAGTTAAAATAAACTCAAGAAAACTAATTTTAAAGCAAAATTGTTAGTATTTATCATCAATGTGATCTTAGTTTTGCTCTTCTCATAAAATTTCAATCAAAACAAACGGATTATTTTGTTCTGTTGTTTTCTAGGTCAACGCTTGTTTTAAACATGTATGGTGGGCAATAAATGCAATAATTAGGCATAGATACGTCTCAAATGTAAATAAAAGTAATAAACAACAATGTTAAAAAGTTCTCTGGGAAATGAACTTGGTTGGTACGTGATCAAATCTTCTGAGAAGCCCTTCGGGCTTCACAGGATTTGATCACGTGACCAACCAAGTTCATTTCCCAGAGAACTTTTTAACATTGTTGTTTATTTCTTAAGTAAAATTGTGTACCTATTCATTAAAATCACATGCGTTATCTCGAAGTCAGGATAATTTTCCGCTCTGATGATCAAGTCCGTTAGGTAAACTGAATGCTCTATTGATAACACTAACCTGTCTGTCACGCTCGGGTTACCTGTGTTCCTGTGATCAACAGATAATAGCGCGATAATTATACGAAGTGTATGTATGGCTTACCGTGATTGTAATTATGCAAGCCAAAGGTTGTGTGTATTAGTCTAATGCACACGCGTGGATGACAAGTTTAATTGTTTTGTGGCTTGGGTATGTTTATCTTGATAAACGCTATTTAATGCTATGTGAAATATGCGCGCATACAAAGTTTATGGATATGAAAGTGAAAATCATAAACATCGAAGTTAAACAAAATTCTGTAATTTGATGCAATTAGAATTTATTTTCCCTAAATGAGCGTGCAGAATTTATAATCGTCCGTACACACCAACATGTGAGCGTGTGCCACAGTGAAATCTTGTGCTAGTGCCCTGTGATTCAGTGTTGTACTGTTGTTAGACAAAATTGCATGATTCTTCTTTTGCATTTGATTTTATTATGGTAAAATAATTTTCTTTTAACTGATTTTACATGTGTGAACATGTTTTTCCAATAAAAGAAAATGTATATTTCGTTTTCGTTATTCTGACAGCGACCGGTTTCAAATTTACATTGCATAGACGATATCCGGTTATGTACACATGGGAAACGATGCTAGCGGTTGACTTGCCACGTTGGTAGAAGGATTATACTTCTGTGCATATTATACAAGCCTTTTATTTTGTGAATTATAAAGAGGATGTAATTTTTTTTTTTTGATTGCTAAATACATGGAAATGTATATTAAAGAAATCGTATGCAGAATTTCGAACAAGAAGGAATTTGACATGTTTTTACTATTAAGTATATTCACTGCACTAAGTTTATTTGAAGTTCATTTGAATTATAACCCTCGATATGTCGAACCCCCGGATATCTCGAAGTTCATCAACGGTCCCGTCAACTTCGAGATAACGAAGTTTAACTGTATATATATTTAATTTATAAACATAATTTGATTTTATTAAACTTATCAAATTCCAGGAAAAGACACTGAAAGTGACAGGTGAAAGCGAGAAGAGCGAACAACTCCACATGTTTGTAGATGGGTTTCAGGTATTTGTGTTAACCCCCGCCGTCTTAGAAAACACCATCTGTCCGGAGAAAGATGAAGCCATTTTGTCCAAATTTACGCTGATGATCTTTGACGAATGTCACCATGCGTACAAAGGCTACAGTTACAATAAAATCATGTTACACTATCACATGGAAAAAAGCAGAGGGGTGACGAAACTTCCTCAGGTATTATCATTAAACCATTCAGAACCAAGCATAAATGTGTCACTCAGTGTACTGAATGTATAATTTATATTTTTATTCAAGAGAACAATTTTCGTATAATACATGTATCAAAATCAAGATCGTTTTGACGCTAAAATAGTGTTCTCTCTAAAAGAAAAAAAAAAACCTTTGTAACTTACTGGACAGAAGATCAAACATAAAATAGTGCAGGAATATTCAGTTATACAAAATATTAATGATTTATACAGTATAACAATTAAAAAGCGACATTACACGAAGGAATTCTTAATTTTCGTAGTAACTGCACTTGGAATCTAAATGGGGTCCGTGAGGGATTGGGGGTGTGTGTGTACGGAATCGGAAAAAGATTTGCCGAATGGTACACAACATTAGAGTCCAGTGGGACTGATCTTGTTAAAGTGAACTTTTTCTGAATGAATAAAGGCAGTCTGATCATCTACGGTCTTTCCGTCAAGCAAAGACAAACTTTTTTCGCTACTTGACGGAAACTGACAAAGCATGATCCAAATTAATTTAATTAATTTTTGCGGACGATTTTTTTCCTTGCTTTGTTAGAAAACATCACACAGATAAATCACCTAGCTTGTTTTAAATAATTTTCAGAATAATTTTTTTCTCTTAGATTGTGGGATTGACCGCGACACTGGGAACTAACAAAGCAAACACTGTTGTAAACGCAAGAAAGCACATCGTACAGGTCATGGCTAATTTGGATGTGTGTCATTTGTCCACTATCGTCAAAAATAAAAATGACCCATTTCTTTGTAGAGAGGGTGTCCAAACAGGTAAGATTTTCATATATTGAAAATCTCAAGTCTTTCTAGGCATAAGCATCTTTTAATAAATTTCTGTATTTCATTTTCAAGCACGACCCTCACTTTTTTTCTGAGAATAGTATTTTTTTGTTAATTTTGTATGGAAATTGTCATTCAAAGGGAGGTTAATTGCTTCCTCCCCTTTCTGATGCAGAATGGTCGACCCCCCTTTAAAAAAAAACAATAAGGGTCTGACCACGCATATATAATTCATGTATTCAGAAAAAACGTATCAAAATGAGAGTTTGAATGTATTTCCATTACCATGTCTCATCACTCCTATGAAGCTATCATCAAAGATGCCAATGTTGGCGTACCATAGATAGGTCCTATTTCAATTCATTTTGTTTTCATTAATAGAAAAGATTCAGCTAAAACAAGATCTTGCAGCTGACCCAGTACACAAAAGAGTTGAGAAAACAATGGGACAAGTTGAAAAAATCTTGGAGAACGAAAGAGGTAAAAATTGTAAAATTCTATGTGACTTAAGGTACTTTAAACGTGGACGATTTGGCAATCTTTACGAAATTAATGATTGTTAGAGTTTCCAATCCTCAACTTTCTCTTCTCTTGTTAATGACTAATGTGCAGTGTTAATATTAATAATCTGTCAAAATTTAATGTTTTTAAAACAAGAAATTGCCAATCTGTCACCCCCTCATTTTTACAATGTTTGCAGGATTTGACTGTTTAATATATGCATAGATGCACTGAAACGTACATTCATATTGTTGTAATAATATAAATGTCTCTTAAAATAACAAGTCAATTTATTAAAAGACAAACTAGATGTTGAAAATGAGGATGAGAGGGAGATAGTGAAAACACTGTTAAGGAGGCCCGACCCAAAAAAGAAAGGGGAGACAAACACCAGAAACTCTCCATCCTATGTACAATGGTGCTGCCATCTGCAGGAAAAGTCAGCACCCATACTAAAAAGAAAACAAAGGACTTCTCAGACTTTACGGCTTGGAGGGGAATACTTAAAGGTACCTGCGCACATGAATTCAAATTCTTACATTCAGAAATAAAGAAATTTGAGTAATTGCAATATTTATCTGCTTTTCTCTCACATGTACTTTTGGTTTGTAATACATGTATTTTTATCAATTTGTTTGGATACAGATTTTTAGCGAGTTACTGGATGTTAATGATTGTTTGACTGGAGGAATTGCCGTAGAGTTTTTGGAAAAACTGATGGAAAAAAGACAAACTGAAAAAGCTATAAAAGATACCATAGAGGGAAAATTTGCAAGTTTAATGACTGGTAAGGGATATTTTATTTGTTGAGATCATATTAAATCAAAACATTCAAATTAGAAATGGATTTCCAAGTGAGTTGGTACAGTTGAACTTTGGTGCCTAAATTCAACACTGACATATTAATTAAATACAGTGAAACTTGTTTAATCCGGACTCCTTTGGTTCCAAAGAAACCGGCTGGATTCGACACATCTAAAACAATTGACATAAAGTTTACACTTATTAGACAAGATTTTGGATTACACATCATCTTGATTAGACAATTAGTTTAACTGTTTCATAAAATACATGTAATATATAAGTATAGTTTTGAAGTGAATTAAATTCATAGTCTCAACCACCTTTTCTTCATGAATACATATTAACCTCAATATCTTCAATCCTGGGATATCTTGAATTTTTCTCTCAGCCAAGTTTAGTTTGAGAAAACAAGGTTTTACTGTATTTCTTGTCATTTTAGTATTGCACAAAGATTTGAAAGGCATAGCAGCAAAAGAGCATTCAAAGACAGGGAAGAACATTGAAGTCCTGCTCCAAACTATGGCTGACTTTGTGAAGGCGGAAGTTGCAGATGGTGAACCCACACGGTTCATTGTATTTGTCAAAACCATAGAAGTGGCGAACAGACTGAGTGATCTACTGAAGAAAGACAAGAGAGCTTACAACTGTGCTAGCTTTACTGGGACAAGAGGTATGTATCAGGCACAGATCTAGGATTGTTTTGGGTGGGGGCTGGTGGGGGGTGGGGTGGTTCCAGTCCAGTCAAAGAAAAAAAATTTCTGGAAAGGGAGGTGAGCCACTTTCATTCACTACTTAAGCTGAGCTACTTATTATGACTCTTCCTATCAACTCAGCAGGGGTCTGCATTTTCTAGGGGAGGTCCAAGGTCAATTTTTATACTTTATTCACTATGTACCAGGTAAAAATTTAATAGCTTTGCAAAATCCGGGGGGAGGGGGGGGGGGGGCACGTATAATAGTCATGTTGATTTTCTTTCAACATCATCTTATCAATGTCAAGATTTTGTTATATTGTTCCTCTGTTTATCTAGAGGAACCATATCATAAAACCTTTAGATTGTGAAGATGCATTAATGGCTGAATAAAAAAAGCAAAAAACTGCATTTTCCAAATGTTCTATTTATAGTAACAGTGACCTTTTTTGAATGGATCACAGGAGTTCCCATACCTATCAATTTTACCAAATTTTTTAGTAAATAAAAAAAAATATGTAATACCTATTATTATAGGTATTACGTATTTTATTATATAAACTGAAAATTTCAGTTAAATTGATAGGTACGCGAACTCCTGTGGAATGGATCAAAATGAAAAGTGGACAGTTTGCAGAGAAAAGTCCCCACATCTTAAACTGCTACAAAGTTTAAAAAAATATGCCAAGTAATTTTAGAGGAGTGGACTTTTAAAAATGCTTGCGGCGACAAAGATGACAACAATGGTCGCCAATTAGTGATTGCATAACCCTTGCAATAATTCTTCACAGAATGAATACTGTAAACTATTATTCGCATCTTCTTTTATTCGCGATTCTATCAAATTGAAATCAAATCCGCAACGATTAATTTTCGTGATTGAGGAGTCATTCTCTACAAATACAAAGCAAAATAAATGGTTCGCGACTATTACTATTTGCGAGTTAAAGTAAGTCGCGAAACTCGCGGATATTTTTCTCGCTCAAATAAAACTTGGTTTATAGTATTCCAGGCCAATAACATCTTGAACAAACAACAGATGTTTGCTCTATTCATTGATGGCCCAATTAAGTTGTTCCAACAGTTTTAACCTTATCCAAGAAATATATATTTATACTGATGATGTATGGAATAATCAAGTCAACTTGACAAGATAAACATGTTTTGATTTTTTTTTTCAAACTTGACACCATTTCCATCCTTTTTTCAGACACAAGTCAGACAGACCAACTCATCATTCTGGATAAATTCAAAGAAGGTGAACTCCAGGGGATAGTGGCTACCAGTGTGGCTGAGGAAGGACTAGATGTTCCACAGTGCAATCTAGTCATCCAATACAACTACATTGGCAACGAAATATCATCTAAACAATCCATGGGTATGTTAGTTTATGTGTCCTTGAGTTTTTCCTCAAGTTTTACCTACCGGTAATTATCACCGCGTGGCACAGTGGTTAGAGCATTTGCTCTACAGACACAGAGTAAAGATATGATCTTTACGTCCTGTGTTCAAATCCCTCTGCAGGATGTGGAGACCGGTCTTTCAATGTATGTCGCAGTAGGTGCTGGCACAAAAAAGATCACTCACTGCTCAAAGGCCCTAAGAGCCGAGTACAGGTGTAAATTTGCAACTCTCCACTGACAAGTGATGGCATTTCAATATAAGTGAAAAATTCTCGAAGGGACATTAAACAAAAATAAACAAAAGTTTTACCTAGTTAGTACCGGTATGTTCTTTTCACTGTAAATAAATTACTCATTATTGTAAATACTTGCCATTAGCATGTTTTTCAATATAGTAATAGTTTTTAATGATGGGGACTGCAAAAAATATCCAATTCATTTATATGTACAGTTGAACTTCAGTATCTCGAACACTGATATCTCGAATACCATGGATACGTCAAAGTGATTTTGAAGTCCCATCCAAGTACTCTTTAAAGTGTTTTACTCCTGATATCTCAAATACTCGGATATCTCAAAGTATTTTCTTGGTCCCACTGAGTTCGAAATAATGAGGTTTGACTGTATTTGTTAATTTGAAAGATATACCAGCGAGTTGAAATGCTTTAAATTTGTCAGTAATTTATGCCAACCATATGAGATTTATTTTATCAATGTACTGAGTACTTTTTAAGGAGATTACAGATTTCTTATATCCAGATATAATCATATTTCTGAAATTATTTTTTTTATGAATTTCCGCATTACAAGGTCACTAATAATGAACCTTGAAAGCTTCTTAAAGGGGCCTAGACACAATTGCATTGTTTACATTCTAAAATTCTACTTTTATAAAAAAAATAATAAAACCAGTTAAATAAATTGAACTTACATAAATATTCTTAGAATTCAGTGACAACGACATAATTCTTTACATCACGACAATCATCTGTTTATGTAAACAGGGCAAGAGCTCTGTTATTGTTAATGTTTACATTTTACTGGGTGTGCTCGATTTGTTAAACTCTGCATACATCACTGAGCACGGACTGGCAAATTCTGGTGAATTTGTTTTGCTTTCTCACATTTCTACTCTGAATTTTCTTGATTGTAGTTTAAATATTTTTCATTAATACACAACAAAATTTCTACTCTTAGCTTCTTAAGTATCAAGGGTAAAGATTTTTCGTGAAAGTGCAAGGATTTGTGTCAATCAAACACATCCCGATATTTGTAGTTTTTAGCTCACCTGAGCTGAAAGCTCAAGTGAGCTTTTCTGATCACATTTTGTCTGTAGTCCGTCTGTCTGTCCGTCTGTAAACTTTTCACATTTTCAACTTCTTCTCCAATACCACTGGGCCAATTTCAACCAAACTTGCCACAAAGCATCCTTGGGTGAAGGGGGTTCAAGTTTGTTCAAATAAAGGGCCACGCCCTCTTCCAAAGGGAGATAATTAAAAAATGGTGAACATTTGGTGTCATCTTTTAAAAATCTTCTTCTCAAGAACCATTGGGCCAGAAAAGTTGAAACTTATGTGAAGCCTTCATAACATAGTGTAGATTCAAGTTTGTTCAAATCATGGGGTAGGGTGGGGCCACAATGGAGGATCAAAGTTTTTTACATAGGAATATATAGGAAAATTCTTTAAAAATTTTTTTCTCAAAAACAACAAAGCCACAATTAGTCATATTGATATGGAATCATCCTCAAGTAGTGTATATTCAAGTTTGTTCAAACCATGACCCCTGGGGCTAAGGTGGGGCCAAAATGGGGGATCAAAGTTTTACATAGGAATATTTAGAACAAAATCTTCTTCTCAAGAACAACAATGCCACAATTAGTCATATTGATATTGAATTAACCTCAGGTAGTGTAGATTCAAGTTTGTTCAAATCATTACCCCCGGGGGTAGGGTGGGGCTACAATGGAGGATCAAAGTTTTACATAGGAATATATAGAAAAAAATCTTTAAAAATCTTCTTCTCAAGAACAACAAAGCCACAATTAGTCATGTTGATATGGAATCATCCTCAGGTAGTGTAGATCTAAGTTTGTTCAAATCATGACCTCTGGGGGTAGGGTGGGGAAACAATGGGGGATCAAAGTTTTACATAGGGATATATAGGAAAAATCTTTAAAAATCTTTTCAAGAAAAGGAAAGCAATGATTATAGTCATATTGATATGGAAGCATCCCCAAGTATTGTAGATTCAAGTCTGTTCAAGGCATCCTCCAGTAGTAGGGTGGGGCCATAATGTTGGATGAAAGTTTACAAAAGAACATATATATGAAATATCTTTAAAAATCTTCTTCTCAAGAACAACAAAGCCATGATTAGTCATATCAATATGGAAGCATCCTCAGGTAGTGTACATTCAAGTTGTTCCAATCATGACCCCCCCCCCCCCCCCCCCCCCCCCCCCCCCCCCCCCGGGTAGGGTGTCAGACATCTTTTAGAATTCCGTTTTAAAGAACAACAAAACCATGATAAGTTATATGAATATAGAAGCATCCTCAGAAGGTTTATATTCAGTTTCAATCAAGACATGGCACCTGTGGGTAGGGTATGCCTAGAACAGGCAAACAAAGCTTTATATATGAATATATAGGAGAAGAAATCTGCTGACAAAGAACAGCAGGGCCATATTGACTCAGGTGAGCATTGTGGCCCATGGGCCTCTTGTTAATAATATCCAGATAAAAGAAGTTTCTGAACATATTTTTTTTATTTTATTTCTGAGTGAAATGCTCTCACAACATATAAGTCATGATATTGTTATAGAAATTTGAGAAAATATTAACTTCAAATCTGTGTCTAAGCCCCTTTAAATTCAAAGTATCTTTATCCCTATAGGTCGCATCAGGAAAAAAGAAGGAAGAAGAATCATTCTGGCCAAATTTAAAGATATTTTTAGAGAAGATATAAACAGCAAGAGGATTGAATTCATGGAGAAAGCGGTTCAGAAAATAAAATCTGAAAATATCCAGAAAGAAATAGCAGAGATTCAAGAAGAAATGGTAGCAGAAGAGGAGCTTAAAATATTAACATCTTCAACAAAGGAGAAGACAGATGATGCATCCTGTTTCAGACTCATATGCAAATGTGGGAATTTTGAGATTGATTGTGATGTCATCAGATGCATTGAGAAAAACAATTATGCTGCACTTGATGTTTCAATCTGGGACAGAATTAAAGAAAAACCATTGTCAAAGAAGCCATTTAATAAAGGAGATACAGTTATGCAATCACAGTGGTTGCATGAAGGTTGTAATATAGTTTTAGGAACTGTCTTTTTGTACAAGAAAGTTCGCCTACTCTATCTTTCCCAGAAGGCTTTTAATTTCTACAGAGTAAGTAAAAATGGCCCAAGCGGGGATCGCCCAGAAAGTGTTGGAAAGTGGAAAGACTTACCATTTGTTGTGCCAGACCTAAAGCCTACAGAGTTGGTGGGGCATCTAAAGGCTTTAATTTCTAAAGAAAAGATGTGAAATTCTAATAATCTCAAATGTGATGTCTTTGCAAAGTGAAAGCTGCACATTAACGCTTTATGTAGATTTGTTAAAAATATTATTATATTATGAAAATCTCTACAAATTGTATTTCAATATTTCATTCTGTACCTAAAAACCTCATTTAAAAAAAATATTATTCTTGCATAAACAAGCACGAATGCATCATCTCCTTTAAAATCAAATAGATAACGAGTCCAATATGATATAAATAATATGTATTTATTATAAATTAATGTGGTTATGAATATCTAAGGTTTTTTACCATCCAATAAAGGGGAATATCAACTTGTTCAGTAAATTAGATAAACACAATTACATTGTAAATACCTTGATAAACCATTCTATAACATAGAAATGACAACAAAAAATACACTTTTGCATTTTAACAAAATGTAAAACAAAATTAAAAACATAGGTAATCAAAGATTACGAAGCTCACCTCGACGAATGTTATCTACATGTAAGGCAAATTTCACATCATTTTTTTTTTCTAGTTAGGGTACATCCCAAGATCAATATCCATGCAAGTTTGGTTTGAGCAGGACTTATAGTTACTTGGAAATAGACCTGCTTCAAAAACAATGTTTTGGAAGATGTAAGTCAGATTCAGAATCCAAAGAAAGTCTGGAAGTGTCCATCCCTAGATACATCATCCATGCTAATTTGGTTAAAATATGGCTAAAATTCACTCATCTGGAAAATCTAGGTAAGATCCAGCATCCGAAGCAAGTGTGGTAGTGTCCATCCCTAGATGCATCCTCCATGCAAGTTTGGTCCAGATAGGGTTTATCGTTACTTGGGAATGGGACTTGCTCCTAAAACTTTAACCGGAATGCCGACGCTAATGCCGGCGCCGGGGGTATAGCATAAGCTCATCTCGACTTCGTTGAGGTGAGCTAAAAACCCACTTCTGTTGCTATTACACCCTTCTTAACCAAACAACAATATAATATGAAATTTTGTGGTTGATCACATATTACTTAAAGGTGGAATAAAAACGTCATTTGGTAATACATGGTTGAGATTTTTTTCAGTAAATGTTAACCAACCATAAAATGTCTAGTAGGTGATAGCAGAACCTGTTAAAAAATCTTATTCTATCATTGCATATACTTTCATTAGTTCCTTTAACACATCAAAGACACTTGTGTGTATACATGTAATAAATGAAAAAAAAAAATTCTCAACTCTTATGAGCATTGTTACCAATAAATTAGCTAATTTTTCCTTGGAAACTTATATACATTAAATGTATTGAGTAGCTCTAATAAAAAGGCTGTTAGGGTTGTTACATGGTAATATTACCGGTAATATAATCATAGAAAAGACATTGAGCAAGACTACATACAGTTTAATTAGTGATATACATGAGTTATTCATGTTTAAATCATGTTTCAAGAAAATGGCAGCTAAAGGATGCCTAAATGCAAGGTAATAATTACACAATGATGTAATCACATCCTATCTGTCCAAGTGTAAAAGTATAATTTCATAAATGCATTCAAAGTTTCGATCAAAATCGGCTTCAACTTTTATACAAGCATGCTTTTAAAAAATATTTGAACTTTTATAAAACCTTATTCTGTAGTAGCTAATCTGCCAGGCTTTTGGAGAAAAATATTTAATAATTGTATAAGATAGGAACTACATTATTATTATGTATTAAAGTCTAACTGGGTGATATAGAAAATAAAAAAAATTAAACATAAATACCGGTAAAACTACATGCACATACATGTAAGCTTCTAACATACGTAACATGGGTAAAGCAATGAACAAGCAAAACGTATATATTAGAAAATGCAGTGTTCTGGCACTGCAGAACTTCTCTACAAATACACATGTACCATGATCGATACTTTTTTGTGTACAGCTATTCAACATGGATTTTGTTATTTTGATGCATCCAAGGTAAAAACTTTTTTCAAGCATGAGATTTTTACATAAAAGTTGTTTAAATTAAAGAAATGCAATGTACAGTAGAAAATGGTATGAATTTCTGGCAATAAAAAAGGGCAGCAACATGACTAGCACCATCAAGAAGCCGAAGGAAACGTGCAGTATACAAAATGACCCGTATGTTTTTAAAGAAAGTATTGAATGCTGTAAGACAATCACCTTTGAGCTTTAATCAACTTGCAAGTACATTTGTATTGCAGAGAGAGTCACAACAACATAACAATATTGACAGTATTGTATTTGAGAAGTGGAGAGAATACAAGAGTTACACAGTGTGACAAAATATTGGGGGGGGGGGGGGGGGGGAGACGAACTAAATTTTCATATACATGTATATGTGTACATATATATTACATAATTCTCTTAAACTCCCTTGATGGGTCACGAATGGAGGTAAAAAACAAAAAAATACAACCTATTGCACTTTTTTTTTGCATTTCTTTAAATCACAAGGCAAAGCTATCTATGCAAAATTGTTCCATATATACTACACAGTTTTTTGCCCATGTGAACAAACTTTTCTTTACAGTAAATTTCTCAAGAGAACGATAATTTTTTTTCTTACAATTACTGAGGCAGGAATTAAAATCATCAATTTCAAGCCCGGTCCTCTTCATCAGCCAAGAAATGATTTGTTCAAACAAAAGCAAGATCAACATTAAAATATTGTTAAGTACACTTGTAATAAATTTAGTACAATTAATATAATCCATATTTGAAAAATATCAGTATGATTATGTACTACGTAACAAGATACATAAATATGAAAATGTTAACATGAAATTATATGTAAATTTGACACTTAGTAAACATAATACATTGTATATTATTCCAGGCTTATTCACTTTTACACTTTGTAACCGTTTTAAATGTGATGAAAAAAACCCAATCAATTCTGCTTAAAACAATCATCGAGTATATCGTCTCATCACAAAGCATGTAAAAATGTCAAGAAATGAGATTCTCTTTTCCAGCAGTTCAACTTTTCCTCTCATCTACTCAAGCATGCAAATGTCAGTACTAGAAAACTAAACACGAAAAAAATTAAATGTGCTTTGGGAAATTGCCATGAGTTGCTATTAAAAAAATGCTGAACAAAAATTAAAAAAACATGGTATAAAAGAATGAATAGTAAACTTATGCAAAATCAACAGGACAGCATAATACATAAACCTTGGAAATTGACAACAAATGCAAATCACAACACATTCCAAAAACACAGATTTCACTAAGATAAAAACCATTAAAAGGTTCAAGGTATAGAACCATGGTTCATCAAAAATGATATTGAAACACAATGCCTTGTTACTCCAAGGTATACATGCCTTCGAAAAATTACATGATAAAATATACACATGTTAATTAATGGTAATACATGTAGATAAATAGAAAGACTATGTGGGGGAAGGTTTTGGTCTAACATACGTTTAAACATGGGATACCCTTGAACCGCATTGTCTTGAACACTTGGATATCTCAAAGATATTTTGTCCGTCTCACTGAGATTGAGATATTAAGGCTTATAACTGTGTGTGTGATCCCATGAACACTTGAGATAAGGACTTGTATTTGGACTGGAAATTATTAGAATGTAATTTGAGAGAAAGGAAATTTATAATAGGCATTACTAGGAAAATTTTTCCAAAAGAAATTCTAATAATAGGGTAAAAATGCTGCATTCAAATGTAAATGTACAACCTTAAATCTTAAAAATACAAACATGAGCAAACTTTTTTTTCATAAAGTCACCATCAAGTGATGAAAGTAGTCCAAAATCTCTTCCATAAAGTTAGTTGTGTCATTCAGCTCAGTTCTAAACAATAATGCACTGCCAATGTTTCTACACAAACGTAATTTAAAATTACTCTAAGAGGAATTATTTGCTAAACAACATTACTATCCCCTGTCTCTGGGGATCCTGATTTTCGATGGACCAGCTCCATGCTTCCCATTTCGTTTGTTTTATATCGCTGATTTTCATCCTCGATAATCTTCTCGATCTCCCCCTCGGTAATGGGTTCCCCTTTAGCTCGGAGGAGCTCGGTCTTAATGATGATTTCGTTACTCATGTACGCCTCCCTGCGAATGTGCAACTTGAGTTTCTCTGGGACGTCCGGTATTAACCAAGCTATCAGGCCAGTTATAACAACAATGACATTCTAAAGAAAGAAAATTAAAATTAAATTGAGCACAAATTATAACATCATCTTGTTCCTCTTTACATATGAACTTTGTTATAATCTAAAAATCCACTGTATGTTATAAAAGATATTAATTCAAAAGTATAAAATTTCACACAACCATACTTTGTTGATTTTCATTAAAAAAAAAAAGTTACCTTCACCTCTATACCGTAACAGAGATACGTGTACATTCACTGTATATTTTTTAAAATACTTATTCAGGGAGCATACCTCAAATGCCACCACAAACGCGAACCTAGCCGCCAGGATATGCCAGTACATTTGTGAGTATTCATACGGCTTGTCTGCATCAGGGGGATTTCGAAAATCTCTGTAGCTGTAAATTTTAATACCAAGTCAGTTATATTTCCTTTGATCAGCTGTTTTCAAATTAATCTCACACAGAAGCTCAATGCAAGATCAACCTATATTTGAATAAAACAGGAAACAAAGAATTTGCATGAATAGATGAGTAATGAAAGACTTACAAGCAAGTTTCGACATTTTCACTGCCGGGAAAGGCTGGGCGATGAGATTCGCTAAAATCTGAGGTGTTGAATACAGAAAGCGTCTGGCTAACGTATCCCTCCAGACCTCCTGTAGGACTGTACGATGTCTCGTACACGAGACGAGGGATGAAATCCGACGTCAGAGCAATGATAAAAGCCTATTGGACATCAATACAATATTTAAAGTAGGATACAAGTGAAAAATCCCCTATAAAGTCAATTAAAGAAATCATGTAATTTTGTAGTGTTGCAAAATCGGACCAAATTTACTATCAATTATCAAATTGAATCAGTAGCATACAATCGATTATAAGATCAATAGTTTGAGCTTTAATTTAAAGGTTTAATTAAAATAAAGTTAACCATGAAATATTCAGATATTCTCGTAAATGATGAAAGCAATATTTCAACATAAATCTGCAAGACCAATTTTAATTTATGTTTTGTGGAACTATTTGTCTGCCATTTGCAAGAGAAATAGAAGAATGCCCTTTGATAATGTTAAAGGATTAACAAGTTTGTATAAAAAAAATATTTTGAAAAAATTAAGTACTATCCAATTTAAAGTTTTCTATCAATTGTCTCCAACATGCTGCCTTCAGTGATGATTTTTCGATAGTCAGCGAATATTGTAACAACACTATAATTTTGTTTTGAAAACTTACATTTGAAATAATGGCAATCCTAGAGATTCCATATAAAACACTGTACCAAATACCTGTAAAAGAGAGGGAGAGGTACAGTGTATATTATTGAATAATTATTATGCTGAATTAAATTTTTTTAACAGATACAGTTTTAATCATGTATAATGCTCAAAACTTTCTTAATGTAATTGTCCCAAAATTCACCCATAATTGTTCAATAATAATACATAAGACTGTTAATAAAGTGGCGCCGCGTTTATCCGGACGCCATTTATCTGGACGCTTCACCATCCAGACGATACTTTTTGGGAACCGATTTTTCCACGTTATTTTGTCTCATTAATCCGGAAATTCGCGTTCCGTATCCGGACAGTCAATTTCTACTACAAAACGTAATAGTTCATTGAAAAATGACTCGTTTATCCGGACGGTAAATTTTCAAGAAACGACTTTTTCACACTTCGCTTGCATTCGTGTTAATTGTTGTAAAAACATTTGCCATACAGTCAGTTTGAAGACGGTTACCTGTGACCTACAAACAATAGCGTCTCTAATTAGCGTGTGTTTACCCTAATTCAATCACACGTTTATCTTTAATATTTAGCTTACACTGTGCATTAATTAAATAATAATCTGTTCAAAATCATATTGCTAACCGTATGTACATCGGTAAATTCATGAGAATTTTGGAGAGTTGTAAATAAAATGAACAATAAATAACGAGCGATTTTGTAATGCTCTTTATCATGTTGATTGCGTTAGTTTAAAATACTGTTTTCCATTTCTAAAAACGTAAATGTATTTGAAACGCTTTTTTCCCCACAAGACAGTTTAGAAAGGTACATAACTGAAGAAATATCTCTATTTAATGTTCTACCGTTTACAAACGTCCATTGCTTTAGAAAAGATATATAAAACTGGCGTTACGTACAGAAGTTGATTACGTTTATCAAGGTATTTTTAATGATCGAAATTTAAACTTAGCGTCTGTAGAAAAAAAAAATATTGATAATCATGAAGATGGCTTGTGTTTATGAATGTTTTTAATACTTTGTTTGATTAAACTTGCAGTTAATTTTAAAGTAACCCTGTGTAATGAATATACGGGGTTAGTTTATATTTGAACATTTTTAATGATGATGCTGAACAGTTCTGTCATATCATATGAGCTTCAATAATTATAATATATGGCTAAATAAAACAACTGTAGATCAAAATTTGCTCAGCCCATGAAGTCACAGGCCAAAGAGAAGGCGAATTAAAATAGGAGGTCTCAGCATAAAATTGCCCGTCCATTTTTTTTTATTGTGTAAATTAAATTTTAATATATATTTTTCTTTAATCAATTACTGCTTTTAAAACAATAAACCAAAATATAATTTAAAAGTTTTTTTTCTTTGCTGTCACATTTGAAACAAGAATGTGCATATATACAATGTACATGCTTAGAGAGTGCTTTTTGAGATGTGATTCAATTATCCGGACGATTCATTTATCCGGACGATTTCGTTGGGGACAGAGGCGTCCGGATAAACGAGGCGCCACTGTATACGCACCTCAGTGATTTTTTTTTTTTTTTTCATAATCAAGCTCTTCTATGTTTCATTTAAAAGGCAGTCTTGAGTAAGATACATGCTAATGCCTCTGACATATGCTTCCATATGAAAAATAATCAGGACTGTTTACGGCTATACATGTAAGAAGTCTCAAACAGTCTGATAATTTTTCAATTAGAACTGTTTTCGGCATACATCCATTACATACATGTATCTTGCTTTAATTGGTAATTCAAATATCTTCAAATTTGACCAATACCAGCTATTAAATTTTACTCAGTATCCCATCTCATTCCTAGTTTATCACTCAAATGTAAAAGCTACCTATATCTGGAATCCTCTCAGCCATGGGCCTCCTTAGCTGTGTGGTGAACTTGACAGCATCAAATCGAATCTCCAGAATATTGTTAATCAGGGCAAAGAGAGGTCCGAGTGGGAAGGCCGCAACAAAGAGGGTCAAAAACCCAAACTGCAGCACTGAAATGTATTTACAAACTGACTGATATACAGTCATGTGCATTTAATTTTTGGAAATGCAAATATTCTTATCCAGTGTATTCATATGGGCATATAATCACAGAAGAAATATTTTTTATCTAAAAAAAAAAAATCTTTGAAATACTGTAAAGGTGGATAAAATACCCGTGTTGTAAATTACTCGAATTATCTGCAAGAACATTACACACAGGGTACCTGTTAACTTATGCAATACTGTTATTATATAGTGTTTAAACTGAATGTGTTTAAATGCATTGGTATGCTGGAGGTACGTAAACGAAACCTTTCTCATCACGTTTTTATCATAAATTACATTGACGCATAAATTTCCAGACGGTTTAAAGTTAATGCAATATTAAATATAAACAGCTTAATCACTAAAAACATGTTACATCCTTTACTGACTTACTTTTGAAATGTCTGGCTAATCATTTGACACTTTGACATTTTACCTAATACATGTATATCTAATAGATATATTGCCTGACAGCACAATGAACCTTGAGCTTACCCATTTCCAGATACTCGTAGAACAGTGATGTGGTGTCGGCAGGCTGTAGTTTGTAGTCCTTCTCCCACGGAGATTTATTCATTTTCTGTTCCTTGGTCTCTGGCCAGATCTTCCTCTTAATCCACTTTATCAACTTCCTGTAAAATACAATTCATTTCCTGTAAAATAGATTCAACTTCCTGTAAATACAATCAACTTCATGTAAAGTACAATTAACTTCATGTAAAGTAAAATTAACTTCCTGTAAAATACAATCTATTTCCTGTAAAGTACAATCAAATTCCTGTAAAATATATAATCAACTTCATGTAAAATCCTATCAACTCTGGATCCTGCAGTGTGGGCCAAAATAAAAGGACTAGCCTAAACTTTGCAGGGATTTTGAATTTATTTGTTCATGAAATGTTTAAAATGAATTTTAAACACTTTGGAATTCTTTTTGTATTATAGTCACTCATTTTATTTGTACACTACAGTATATGGGTTTCTTTGTGTGTTAAAACATTGCAGTAATATTAATTAAATGTAAGTGATGTTAGTAAACCTACAATAGGGGAATCTCTAAAATGTTGTTGACAATCAGCTGAACTTGAGGTATAAGAATTTTTTAGCTATATTGACAATCAGCTGAACTTATGGTATAAAAATCTCTACAAAGTTGTTGACAATCAGTTGAACTTACGGTATAAGAATCTCTACAATGTTGTTGACAATCAGCTGTTTTCCTGTCATGATGATAGCCAGCTGAATACAGAGCTCAATGAGACACCCTCCAGCCTCGCACTGCACATAAACAAAATTATTTCTCATCAACTGTGAAAATCAAAATTATTATCTCTGTGCATATATAAAACATAGCTAATCAAAGATTATGAAGCTCACCTCGAAGAATGTTATCTTTAAGTAAGGCAAATTTCACAGCATATTCTTTTTTAGTTAGTGTACATCCCAAGATCAATATCCATGCAAGTTTGGTTTAAGTACGACTTATAGTTACTTGGAAACTGTTGGAGACCTGTTCAAAAAATGTTTAAATCCTGTTAACCAATCAAGAAAATTTTGGTCAGTTCCAACATCCAAAGTAAGTCTGGAAGTTTTCATCCTTAGATACACCATCTATGCAAGTTTAATCATAACAGGCCATAATGTTATATAGCTACTCCAAAAAAAATATCCTGGTCACTCATCTGGAAAATGTAGGTCAGATTCAGAATCCAAAGCAAGTCTGGAAGTGACCATCCCTAGCTACATCATCCATGCTATTTTGGTTAAAATATGGCTGAAATTCACTCATGTGGAAAATCTAGGTCAGATCCAGCATCTGTAGCAAGTGTGGTAGTGTCCATCCCTAGATGCATCATCCATGCACGTTTGTTCAAGGTAGGGCTTACAGTTACTTGGGAATGGACTTGCTTCTAAAACTTTAACCGGGACGATGACGCTTACACCGACGCGGGGGGTATAGCATAAGCTCATTTCGACTACGTTGAGGTGAGCTAAAAAAAATTTTACCTTGATTTTTGCAAAGCCTTAATATCCTATGTAAACAAACAATAAAGCCCCCCCCCCCTGTACTTTTAAATATCTTACCTCTTCTTGACGACCTCCAAATAAAGTGGCATATTTTCCTGGGCGTCCAACCAACCTAAAATTTACCAAGAGGACTCATAATGCTTTGAAAAGTAAAATGTCAGTTTCCTTGACTAAATTTTTTTTAAGCACCCCCCCCCCCCCCATTCTTCATTAGGTCAATGCCATAATTACAAAGAGCACCTATATTTGCAAATCAAAAGGTGCGATTATAAAAATTAACCTCCATTATGTACAACATTCATTATCAGTCAAAAGCATTTATTTAAACTTATTTACCTCCCTTTGAAGAAAGCTATGTAGATAATGGAGGAGTAGTAGTTGACAAACTGTAGAGAGAACAGTTTGAGGGTGATACTATCATCGTACTCCTTTTGGGTACGCAAGCACTCCAAGTCAGTCAGCCAGAAAGCCAGTTTACTGTAAATCTACAATCATGGGGGAAAAAAATAAATTTTATGAAACTAAAGAGTGCACATGGAAACTTTCTTCTATAAACAAAGCTGGACATTCCAACATGCATTTCAAAGGAAATCAAATGATAAAAGACCTAACCTATTCTAACAAAGGCCAAAATGTAACTTTCTATGTCAACAAGTTGGATGAAAGTTTAACATGTTTTGATAAAAAAAAAATACATGTACTTCTGACATCTATGAAACTTTGAACTTTTGCAGGTAGTTTGGCATTGAGATACAAAAAATCTAAAGGCAGCAGATGTTACAGATGTTGACATTTTCATCACAAGATGTATAAATTCTCTAAGAATGATATCTTTGAAACCTTGAAAACAGTTTATAGCAATCAGACATTCAAAAGCTGAAAGAGAATTTTTTTTCCCAGATTTTATATCGTCTTTTTTTCAAAAACTTATGAATTATACACAAAAGGTAGCAGCTGTAACAGAAGTTTTCTTACAAAATTAAGTATGATAATGATGAGCAGGTTGATACAGGCCGCAGTAACCGTGGTGACCAGACTGGCATTCTGGTAGATGACCTCTGCCGTGGAAGCGATGAAAGTGGAGTTGGTTACTGGGGTGTTCTTTGTGAGGACCTGCAGGGCAGCCAGGGTGGAGATACGGTAGGCAATGACCCCCACCACAGCCACAATAGCCAGAAATGCCTGAAATCATAATAGTAGTGTATGAAAGGAAAATAGAAGCCACAGAAGAGAATGTGTATAGTTGTGCAGAATGAGAAACATGAATTATACTTGAATTTTTTTTTTTTTTACACAGAAGGTTGTTTATACAAATTTCAATATAACATCAGACAGGTGAAACTTTCAGATAAATTGAAATGGTAGAAGAATAAATAAATCCATTCTAACTATCATAAAAGAAAAAAAGGTTTAACCTTTTTCTTCCTGAACTCAATTGTCCTATACCATATGAATAAAAGTACTTCTGGCCTGTCACACAAAACAACAGAGCACATGCCAAAATATTAGCAGCCCCTAAGAAATCAATCCGTTGATACTCACAAGAAACAACATGGCAGTCCATGACATGAGGTATATAGGAAATCTTTTCCTCCAAAAAGGAAGATGTGGCTCTTTTATCTACAAAAGTTGGGATTAGGAATAATTAAAATTAAACAGTAAAAATACTGCACAACTGGAAATTAATTTTTCACATCTCTTACAGTAACATTCATTGCCTGCTCAGACTTACCCCTGTAATGGGATGTTCTTTGTAGGTTGTAATGTGTTCGAGTTTGGCAAGGAATTCTGGTCTAGGAGGTTGCTATAAATTCAAAAAGTAATTTACTGGGTTACAATTATACTACTTGTACAAATATATATATTGTACAATTACCAAAACTTATTCTGTAGATTCCTAAATATATGTGATAAATTAATTACTGCGTAATTTTGCGATAAACATCACTCGCAAAATAAAATTACTCGCTTTTATTTCTGTGGTGCTACAATCCATTTCCCGATAATAAGTAATGGCAAAAAAATAATGAATCTATAGTACATGTATAATTAATGTATATCTGCTAATCTAAACACTATAATTTTAAAAGCAAAGTTCACAATCATTTGTGTTATATAAGTAATCAATCAGAAAGTGCATGATAAGGTATAGGAAATTTAAGGAAGATAAAATATCTTTACCTCCTCTGTAACAAAGTCTGTGAGATCCCACTTAAACTGTAAGGCAGCTTGTTTCCTCTTCCAGAACTCCAAGAACAAAGTACCTTTGAAAAGATAAGATATCACACATGTAGGTTTAGAAATTGTTGGCAAAGTACCATACAGTAAAGCACATTTTAGTGAAGTGCCATGGAAGAATAATAATATTTCGATTCATAATGAACATAATTTGTCTGAGAAGTTCATTAAACATTTTAAATAAACAAGGAATGAAAATCACTTTGCTGTAAGCATGAATTCATCATAAATGTGCTCTCTGCAACTGTATTTTACTCTATATAGTGGACAAACTTTTCGGTACTTTTTTTCTCCTCCAAATTTTTAAACAAACCATACTTTCAAAATAATCCTTCAATGTCCTATTCCATTTGCTAAAATTAAAAAACTTTAAACTGATGACTTTTGAAACTTACCCCAAAATGACATGAAGATGGCAAAGAACACAGTGGCACCATTGTCAAATATTCTGCTCGCTCGAGCGTGCGAGCATGCTGCACTCAGCTTCCAGTATGGACACTGATAATCACACAGCGGACACATCGTGAAATTTTTACTCTCATCACAAATCTCATTCCTAGTTTCAAAAGAGGAAAAACAAGAAGTCTGTGAGCCAATGCTCACTAATAATACCCCCGCTCTGATGTGAATACACAAGTTCAGTTATGGACAAACACAGTGATAATCAGGAAATTGACATCGGATTTGTAAAAACTGAATCCCAACATATGGCATGCCTAAACAAAGAAAAAATTTCAAGCATCTGCGATGAGTAGTTGCTGAGAAAACTACGACCAAAATTTATTATGTATGGTACGGACAGACGCACGGATAAACAGGAAGTTGACATCGGATTTGTTCCAAAAATGAATCCTATTATATGGCATGCCTAAACAAAGATTGTGCTAAAATTTCAAGCATCTGCAATGAGTAGTTGCTGAGAAAACTACGACCAAAATTTGTTATGTATGGTACGGACAGACGCACGGATAAACAGGAAGTTGACATCGGATTCATACAAAAATGAATCCCACCATATGGCATGCCTAAACAAAGAGTTTGTTAAAATTTCAAGCACCTATGATGAGTAGTTGCTGAGAAAACTGCGACCAAAGTTTGTTATGTGTGGTACGGACAGACGCACTGATAAACAGGAAGTTGACATCGGATTCGTACAAAAATGAATCCCACCATATGGCATGCCTAAACAAAGATTGTGCTAAAATTTCAAGCACCTATGATGAGTAGTTGCTGAGAAAACTATGACCAAATTTTTTTTATGTATGGTACAGACAAACGCACGGATAAACAGGAAGTTGACATCGAATTCATACAAAAATGAATCCCACCATATGGCATGCCTAAACAAAGAGTGTGTTAAAATTTCAAGCACCTCTGATGAGTAGTTGCTGAGAAAACTGTGACCAAAGTTTGTTACGGACAGACAGACAGACAGACGGACAGACAGACAGACACACAAGGGTAAAACAGTATATCCCCCTCTCCTTCGGAGCGGGGGTATAATAACTCTAAATTACACCAACATATTGACAGTGAAACTTGTCTAATCTGGACACCACTGGTTCCAAAAAAACTGTCCTGATTAGACAACATTCAGAATTAGACAACATTTTGAACAATTGAATTTATTGAAAGGGACTTTAAGTTTACATCGTATTAGGCAGGATTTAGGAACTTCGATCAGCACTAAAAAATAAACATTTCATGGCCAAATTTCATGCTGCATAAATCGAAAGTTTTGACACAAAGAAATGATCCAAACAACTTGAACATTAAATCTTATCTAGTAATTTAATTATGATGGGAATCATGTTAGAAAACATTTTTTCTAGTTATATATAATTTTCATGAACTTTATGATGAGGAATAAAACATACGCTGGATAACTGTCCCCAGATATTGCACAACCATAGATAAACACAATAAGACCGATGATAGAAGCTGGTATCAACATCTGTGTGTAGAAGCCAAGCCAGGCAAAGTATATGGCAATCTTCTCTCCAAAGTAGCCTCTGATGAAAAATAATGTCAAGCTAATTAAAGCAGTAAGAGAAAAATACTGTAGCGAAGTGTGTACAATAAATCTGGCATACAAACCAGAATATATACATATACATGCAAGTCATGATATCCTTTAACATACTGTATGTGTACATAATAAATTGACATAATTTATTAAAAATCTAGCACATTGACTGGGTATTGAGTGGTTGGCACAATCATAAATTAGCATTACACATGTCCACGTTATGTATTGTATTTATTTATGAATTATTAATGGTAATCATTGCCCCCCCCCTTCAAAAAAAAACCCCCGCTAAAATATGAAGCCCATTTTTTTAAGTACACATACAGTAAACTGATTATGAACCAATATTTATCAGCAAAAAAAAATTGGCAGGCACTGATGCCCAAAAATGATAACATTCAAAAGTCACATTGTTCAAGGTCATGATTTCTGATAAAAATGTAGAGTGAACTTTTTTAAATATACATGTACAATTAGCCTTTTGATAATCATGCACATATGCTCATATATTTTTTCTCTCTTACCTACAATTTTCTAACCCCTAAAAATTATTTAGAAAATATTTCAAAAATATGATTACTTTCATTTTCAGACTCTTTTGTGGTTCACTGATTTAGCAGTTACACACAGACTCACCTGACATGGTCCAGTGGTTGCACTTTGAAGCAGTTCCTCCAGTTAGCCCAGTAATCAAACAATAACTTCCTCTCATTGTCAGCTGAGCCAGCCTTCCAATGGCCCTGCCAACAAACAAGGTCAATACAGTCAAACCTCGTTTATCTCGAACTCAATGGGACCAAGAGAAACTTTCGAGATATCAGAGGATTCGAGATATCAAGAGTAAAATACTTTAAAGAATAAGTGGTTGGGGACCTCCAAATCACGTAATATCTATGGTATTTGAGATATCAGTGTTCGAGATACCAAAGATCAACTGTACTTATTTTAGCATTTAATGGCCACCTTAAATGTCTATGAATCTTGAAGCATAACATAAATCTTTGACTAATATTTTACATCCTATCAGATATTACAATGGTTACTTGGTAAATTGTTGGTCTTCCTTGAAATAAAAACATACCTCATGGAGGGGATATGCATCTGTGTAATGTCCATCTGCAATCATCTTGTTAATGCCTGCAATACGTTATATTTCCATTAGTGAACTCTTCAAAATTAGAGGCGCGTTTGGTCGTCTGACAGGGACAGCATGGCGTTGCGGATAATACAAAACATGCCAATCTCAATCCAATTTTTAATGTTAAATGTATTTGTCATTCTAATTAAAGAATAGAAGAACTAAAAGACATATGTAAGAGAGAGAGAACCCTAAATTTATCATCCATTAATTAAAAAATACATTTCCGAGGCACGTGTATTGTATTTAGATGTACCATACGATAAATAGATACATATGATCAACAATAGATATAAATTGATATCGTTGTCATTCCTACTCTTGATGTATATAAAGTCCACAACAATAAAATATTTCATTTGCATTTTCTTAGGATTTGTTCATCGACATTCAACATATTGTTTACATGTTTACGTTACGTTTGTCCCTGAAATCCCGCGAGATTTGTACATTTTCCGACTTTTTCACAAAAGAGCGCACTAAGAAGTATAACTCTTCCATAGTGGAAATAGAACGTATTAACATTGATAAATCATATCTTACTTTTTATCCACAGTCATGTGTATACAAATTAGAAATAATGTTGGACTAAGCTATTTCCAAGTATGAATATTTCAAATACAATGCATAAGTAGGAGGAGGTTGACTGTCCATACCATAATGCACTCTCAAATCATCTTCTTCTCTAAACATTGGATATTTCTAGGTTTTTTAAACATCTCCATCAGGTCCAAGATATTGAAGATAATTCCTAATTAAGTTTACCAGAGTTAACTGAATGAACAAAGATGAAAAAAAAATCCTCTTACCAAAAGAGAATGCCTTTTCTTTCTCTTTACTGAAAGCCTTACGTCTCAAGATGAAGTTGACGATTCGACTTCGTGTAGCATTGTCAAAGAGGGTGTCCTTATCCTCTGGTATATCAAACCTACATGTAAATAATGGTAAGGAAAAGGTGAATTATTTAGAGAGGCAATAGTGCATATATCTCCTTAGCAATTTTCAAGGAACTGTGTGTCAATTTAAGTGAATCAAAATCCATCCAAGTTTCTGTATATATGTATATGTATATTGTAAAATCACTATTTCTGAGGATCTGAGGAAAAAATATTGGGGACGTACATGATTTCATGGTGGAAGACGTATGGTAGATAAGTAGTTTGAATTTAAACTTTTTGTGGAGGACATAATTTCATGGGTCTCTTAATTTTATATCATGGAAACAAGAAAATTAACCCTCCACAAAAATAAGTGATGTCACAGTAATACTGATTTAATTTTCCCTCCACCATGTCACTAAACTGACTGGGGGCATAGACCCAGTTTAACAAGCAGAAATACTGTAAATCACTTTTTATTACGAGAACTTTAGTCTGCTTATGAAAATTTTATTCTCACATATATTTTCATTATTATTATAGATCATATAAAACAATAACTAGAATTTGTGAAAATTTTGTCTCACTTGTAAATGCCAAATACCTATCTCATAAAAACCTCATGAAAAATATGGTGATCTACAAGTATTTTGGCAAAAGAAAGGCCTGCTTAATATTCCACACTTACAGATATTCCTTGTCTCTACTGTAGGCCAGATTAAACCTTCTCTTTACTGGCTTGACCTTTGTGGTGTCCACTTGGAAAGGGGTAAATAGTTTCTTTGTGAAAGAGGTCATCGTGTCCCACAGGCGGGTACTGACAGCCTTAATGGGGGTCTACAAAATTTTTTCAACATTAATTGCAAATTCATGGAGGTGAAGTTGCCAAAAAGTTCCTGATTGTTCAATAAAATATTTTCTAATTAAATAGAGAATATCTAAAACTACTACAGTACTGCTAAATATAGTTACAGAGAAATGCATATATGTATATAAAATAAATTTAAAAGATATTGATAGAAAATTGAACTCCATTCCATAGCTTAAGCTTAATGTATATACTGTTATTTCTGATTGGGATGCTCTGTAAAGCAATTAATCATTTTTAAAAGGTGCTACGCAAGTTACTGATTTCTCCAATTTTCCCAATTTCTTAGTGCTCCAAATGCATACATGCTGCAAATCTAAGCATTTATTTCCTAAAGCGAAATCTTAATTCACTCTTTTAAGGCAGAAATAAGAAATCATGGCATTTTACTATAAAATTCATAAGCATATCAGAGCATTTATCATGTTTATTGCATTCTATAAGTATACCAAAAACAATTATTTAATGCATTTATTACCATTCTTTTATCACTTAATAAGTCAGAAATTTAAACTCAAAATCTCTTTTCTTAATCACAGTCCTTGATGTTACATTTGTGCTTCACTGGCATACAGATAAAGGAATTAGGATAGGTTCATGAAGCACTATATTTCCCAGTATACAACATTATTGACTGCCTGGATGCTGAGCCTAGAAGATTTTCTATTATGCTGAAAATTCTCAAGTGATTCTTTTAGTAATTATGTGTAAATTTAAATAAATGGACATCAGGGCAGGGAAGTTTTACAATGAGTTTTGTATTTTGGTTTTTCTCTTCCAAGGAAAATTAATACAAGCAACCTGATATGATGCCTATCTTATATAGCTCTATGATTAAGGTCAAGGTTAAAGTATGGACACACAGACAATAAAATACAGGGATTAAAACAATATTAAATCAAGAGAGTATGAGTTCATTATTATTATTGGAAGCTAATTTTCCCCATACAAACTAAGATATATATTTAACAGTAAACACATTTCGATACGCAAACCAACAAAACTCTTTTATTCCATTTGAACACAAAGTTTTATAATTAATTTCTATATTTTCCACTTATCAAAGTCTAAAATTAGTAATAATAATACTAATGTATTAGTTTATGTTGGGTGTTAACACATGCTTGGAGGTTTATGCTCAAAGTTATTTCCCCTGAATGGTTGCACACAAGTATCAACTGAAAAGATTTTTGCTTTTTATTCAGACTGTTGTCCATGCATTGCATTCCATCACGCATAAAACACATTGAGATATTCAAGATATGAAACACAGACTCTTAACCCTAAAATTCAGAAATATGCAAACTATTAACTTTAATATAGTATCCAATACTTTGGTGTATGCAAGTCAAGAAACATATATTTAATCAATGTCATAATCAGATTAGTTTTCTCACTATACACAAGCAAGGACAAAGGAAAGTATTAAAGTAAAATTTCAGGGTGAAAAATTTAAGGAAAGTGCACTGAACCTAAAACAACTTTGAACTAGAACAGTAACAGAGTGCATTTCAACTAAAACAGTCATAGAACACATTTCAACTAAACAGTCACAGAACAAATTTCAACTAGAATAGGCATTAGCACCAACAAGAGCTCAACCACAACGACAGAAATTCCAATTATTAATGGAATAGGAACATCATACCACCACGCGGCGATGAAACTCGTTGACCCCGCTCTTTATAAGGATTTTCTATGCATAGGCAAGAATACACACACAGAGCCATTAAAAGACAAGTCTACGGAATTATATCACATATATACAAAATGATTACAATGCTGGCTTGTTGTAGTTTTAGTTAAGACATGTCCAGATTTAAAAATAAGGTTGAATTTAAAATTTATTCTGTGGAGTCAACTAAATTTCAACTCTACATAAACTGAATTTATGAGTCATGAATTTTCAACTAAGATTTGAACATTTTACCAATGAGTTGAAAATGTATAATGATTGAATTAATCAACAAACACTCAATAATTTAAATTGTACCATGTCCTTCTTGAGATTTAAACAAACCAACATTGTTATTTTGCAATGTACATTAATTAATACACATCAATTAATTCATACATAAACTAGCATCTAAATTATTATTACATTTAATGTTGACACCCGAGGAAGATATTTTCCACTCTTGCTAAAATTGCTAATTTCATTGGGTCATTGTGGAGGACCATAGAGTAGCTATAGCAAGATTAATTAATGTTAAAAAAGCATTATTGTTCTATACAGTATATGATTTGGAATCTGCATTTCAAAAAGATCCTAAAACAGTGTTTTGGAAATGCCACATATCACCAAATTAAGGCAATCCATGTAAATATACATAAATTGGAATGAATTTAAGCTTTTTTTCAATGGAAAGTGCAAGATATGTCAAATGCATGTGAAAAGTTAAAAAATTCTTCCTGTGCTCATGGGCAGCAATGACCTTCACTGGTTATAAAAATAAAAAGTTGGTTTAATAGCACAGCAAATATAGTACATAAAGAAAGAAAAAAAAAGTATGATCAAGGTTACTAGAATGCACACCTCGTGTTTGTTGGTGAAAAACCTCAAATTTACTTACTTCACTATCTGGATCAAAATATGTGTACTAAAAATAGGATCAATATATGTATACTAAAAATAGGATCAAAATATGTGTACTAAAAATAGGATCAAAATATGTGTACTAAAAATAGGATCAAAATATGTGTACTAAAATAATTGTTAACAGATAAATAAGCTGTGACTTAACTTGTACAAATGTTGTAGACTGTTTTAAAATATTTTATTAAAATGCCCTATCAGAAATCAAGATGCGCCAGCTCACATGTTTGAAGATTTAAGTGTTTCAACTGCTAGGGATTATAAAACTTAACTGTAAGTACCTCATACATAAAAAAATAAAACAAAGAAAAAACCCCTAAAAATTAGAGATAAACCTTAGACATAATTCAACAAATTGGAAAAAAGAAGAAATCTAGCTTCTTGGAATTACATATAGAGGCTATAGCTACCAAAATTTCTTATGATGGAAAAGAATTTCAGAGTCAAGCATAATATTAATTAAATGTTTAATATATGTTTAATATTAAATAAAGCAAGAAATAAATCAAAGTGTATCTCAAATCTTTCTGTTATCGTATAAAATACCCAATACACTGTGAAATCACTAATTTTCATGGCGGTTTAATTTTCGTTGTTTTCGAGGCACCGCAAAACATGTAAAATTTCATATATATATAACCACTCAACACTTTTCCAACCATCAAATCAAAACCCCACAAACCAATATTTTTTCCTCAAACCTGGAAATTTTGACCCCACGAAAATATGTGATTTTACAGTATCTTTTCACACTTAGAATAATTGAACAATATTTACAATACCTGCATTTAGTTAACCTTAAACTTCATTAAAATCACTGTTTCAAAACTAGCCAAAGGGAAAGAAAGAGAGAATCAAAGTTCAAAAAAGCTTACATTTCCAACCTGCGCATGACAGGAAAAAATAGAAAACGCACTACGAAAAATGCAAGAGGAAATGACATTCTAACAAGTACCTCGAGTTTGGCGTACTTCTCGTGGATCTTTTCCAAGTCCATGCTCTGTTGATCACACCGATAAAAGACGTACATAAGTATATACATTAAATGTAGGAAAAATGGCTCTACATCTGGAGGTATACAAATAAGTATACAAATCACCACAATACCCCCCCCCCCCCCCCAACACTACATGTATGATGGAATTCTTAATGTTCCATCCACATAATATTAGAGGCTGCTAAACCCTCCTGAACTTTTACCAAGTATTCTTAATCATATGTTCCTGAATTGTATATATTCTGATTTTTTTGTAAATTCCCCAGTATATTAGATAGCTGTGTTACAGAATTTGTCTTCATAATTAATACAAAAGCTTAGTTTACAAGCTAACATAAATACATTAGGCCAAAAGCAGCAAATTAAAAGGCATCTCTGTAATGTATGTTTTGTTTGTTAAGAAAGTAATTACATTGTGCATATTTACACATCAGCTGATAATATTTAACTCATTGCTGAATCTATGATCTTGACTATGCTGTATTTTGCACTTTCACAATAATTTATGTTTTTAACTTTAAGTGTATAGCAATAAATATTTCCCAATTTTTTTAAGTGGTGAGTAATCATTAACTTTATTGTATATGATACAACAATGAAAAAATTGGTGAAAAAAAATTAGTGCACCATATTTACCTTAATTGATAAGATTTACATGCAAAGTACTTTCTAACTAATCTACTATATCAAAAAAAATTATTAAGTAAAAAAGAATTACAAACCTTTTTCACAGGCATGCGGACTTTGAGGATTTCAGCGTACCGTGTCAGCACTTCATACGGAGCATGGACCTTCAGAAAGTGAATTTCTTCTCCCTCTTTCTGCAAATATAATCATATTGTTAGAAGACTGAAATTTCTCTAGCAAGAGTTATTCCCCTTTAGATACTTTCACTTTGAGAACATTATGTATATTATATTTAATATATTTGAAACTCACTGATTTAAAGCTAAATCAAGTCTCAAATAAGTGAATTCATAGAGACAAATTTATTAATTACTAAAAGGAAGAGATCTTGATTTTGTAAACTAGTACATGCTGATTCAAAATACATATGTCTCTTTTTAAGTAACAGCAACTTTTCATAAAAACAAAGGGCTATAAAAAGTTCAGAATTTCAGAATTGAAAATCAATGATCTAGATGTTCTACTTTGCAATGATGAATCAGGAATTAGAACACAGGACTAACTTCATCCTTTTCCAGCTCTAGGCCCTCCTGTTTAAGGTTTTCCTCAAACACCGCCCTTGCCGCTGAGGACTGTGCCAGTTTCTCTGGCTTTCCCTCTGTGCTCCATGCCAGGATGTAATCAATTCTCTTTCTGCTCTTCTTGAAAAACATGTTACGACCCTACAATGATAAGATGTGTTTAGTTGATTAAAATTATAACTGTTAAAAGGATATCACATGAATAGAAATTATCCATGTAATGTACAGTATATATTATATATCGTATACATGTATATATATATATTTATATATATATTTTCTTCTTATATGTATAGGAAAAGATACTTTTCAATTAAACAAATCTTTGTAAAGTTATTTTTCATAACGCCTTAATCAACTTAAATGTTCAGATACCACTTGATATCCAAAATAAACACGTTTTCAAAATTTACTGTGCTGTATTTAAAGTATAAACTTCTAAGACAATTAAAAATTCTGATAGAAAGAAAAATATTAAATACACCAAGTCAGGATTTTCAGAATTTCAAAATTCTGAAAGTTAAGTGAGATTTATCATTAGGTTGAGAGTGAAAAAAGTTGATCTGTGCAGTTAAACTGGACATTTTTCAATGTCAGGTGTAAAGAAAAATCAATCAGGATACTAGTTAGTCAATGGATTTCTCATTACAAACTAATATGCATAAAAAACATATTGTGTGGGTTCAAATGTGTATTACAGAATTATATTATATACAATAAATCTCTTTTTCAAGTTATTATAGAAAACCATCGTGCAGACACACGATTTTTTAGTTTGTCTTTGATTACACGACACACATTCTCATTCACCTTGTACATAAAACCATGCCCTAAAACCTGACGAAAACAGATCAATTAACAAGTAAATTATCTCTTACAGTTATTGAAATTTCACATGCATTCTGAAATCTGCATGATTGTATGAAATTGTGAAAACTGCCTAGAGATGACAGAATATATAGAAACTATGAAAGAAATTGAAATGTCATCTAATGGGTTAAGTCACTGTAGCTGCATGATCCTTGATTATCATGATACTAAAATTGACATAGCTTAAAACTGGCTTTAATAATAAACAAATATATCAATTGCAACCAAACATGAAATAACATTCTTTTATTCACAAATATGCAATATCTGTTGTTATTATCTGGGAGAACTCAATACTATAGCTTCAATCAGACAAATTGTTTATACCTAATTGGAACTGATATGTGTATTACAAATGCGTAATATTTTGCTATAAAAATTTGGAATGAGGATAATGTCTCTTGAATTTGAAAATATTCAGAACTTGACAAATTTGAGAAAATATACATTATTTCAATCATGAAATAGTGAATTATATTCTGAACTGCTCCTGTCAGAAGCTTGCATATTTTGATAAATTGGTAAATCCACTTTTGAGTTGGAAATTACTTTGAAGGATAATTTCTGATCAGAGTTGAAGTGGAAAAACCAACCCCAATTCAGCCCCCCACCCCTCCCCCAAAATCTATGTACAAAAATGGATAAATGTATATTACCCTACTTTCTCTTCTGCTGCAGCCAACTCATAACTGATTGAAGCTATATAAACACATTTCTGGAATGTCGGTGTAACTCAGTTTTACACAATCTGTCACTAGTAGCAACATACAAAAGCATATCATAATAGGAGAAGTAACAGTTAGAAACTCTTTGTAAAGGTATATATATGACAGCGGAGCTGTAGACATTCGACTCTATAATTTACCATCACTTCTTGATCAACTGAAAGCTAAAGAATAATGGGAGATTACATAAGCTTTAGCTATTATCAAGCCGTCTATTTTCTTCTTTAAACAAAACTTGTATTGTTTGTTTTTGTTCATTCCAAAGTGAACAAATGCATAATTACAGTTCACACTTTCCATGTTCAAAACCATGGTTGCAGGATTATTCAAAGCTGTTTTGAAATATATCTAGATTACAAAAGTTCTATAAAAAGCACAAATAGAGGCAGAATGCTTAATATTACAAAGAAAAATATGAAAAAGCAATAAGGTGTCTTCGCATTTTAATTAATTACACTGCAAAACTTAACACATAGATAGAGATCACAACGTTTTTAACTTTACGTTGACTTAGAAAAAAACAATGTATAATAAATTTTTTGCAGCCAATTACAGAGTTTTCTCCCTTTCTTTATAAATCAGAGTGACCACTAGATGGCTCTGTATGGGAAACTTACACTGGGCTTTTTGTCCTGGATGTCTGCATCCTCAGGGTCATCGTCCACATTCCCCGTTACATTAACACTGGCCGCTTTACCTCCACCATTTGTCTGGGGCTGCATCACTTCATCTGATTAAAAACAATTTTAAAAAAAAAATTTTAATATTCTGAATCAAAACTTGAAGAGTAAATAATTAATTTGCATTGAGAAGTTAAATTTCATTATACCTCAGTCCTGTCAAAATTCCAAATTTTAAATGTAAAATGGTGCAAGTTTACAAATTTTATGTTTTAGAGTGATAGCTTAAATGTCAACAAATATAGCCAAAAGGTCTTTTTAAGACAATAAAAGGTACAATATGCAAATCAAACTGATCACCAACACATAATGTTTGTCTTTAAAATATTCATCTTACAGCCAGGATTATTGCTTAGGTATGTACTTCATTATAGGAATATACAGATGAAATAAACACTGTGAATGCGAGAATTTCTTAAATATATTAACAGTGCAAGTAAAAATTCTAAATATATGCATATGAACCTGCTAAAGGATTGTAGAACTCGAACTCAGGTAAGCGAGTCATCTGAGCGTACGACAATCGAGTCCTACTCAATGTCATAAGACGCTCATCATCAGATGCCATTTTGGAATGATGTAAAAGTTGCTATAAGCAGTGGTTATTGTAGCATGCAGACTCGGGAAGTCAAATTTCAAATATATTGATCAAGTTTAAAAAACCCTGATTAATAATATTAACATATCATATATTACTTCCTGTATTCTCATTTTCCCTCCAAATATCAAACATCCTTCTTGGAAAATATATATATCGTTAATTGTTCGATGTAATTAGTATGATTTTAACAAAAGAATAATTTGGCTTTAATGGAATGTTCTTATAGCTGAAATTCTTTCTCTGCTGGCTATTTTGACTGTGCTATAATTACAGGCTCCGATTCTGTTTAAATAATTGATTTCAGTCCGTTACATACCAGGGGAGCCACTCAGAGTGACACCATAAATCTGTTAAATAAACAACAAAGTGGTCTCTCCAAAGCAGTTGTTTCTTTTTTTTTCTTGCAAAAATATTTTAAACGCCCCAAAATAATCCTACAGAATTCCACACACCCTACTACAAAAGCAGGTCACTCAAGTGGAACTCTCTATTAAAATCCAGGTCAAGAATTTACATCTCCATGAATGAAACACAATCCCATGTGACACAATTACACGATAATGCTCCAAATTCTTTGCATAACATTTGACAATAGCACTCCTCCAAACTATCAAAATCTTCCCCGTTATTGTCAATGTAGATGTTGTATAGACATATCCTAAGGTGGAAATAGAAAGTACAGGTATGCTGATCAGAGGTGAAGGTCAAATGTGTATTGGTCCAGGTGAATATTGATGGATCGTATCAAAACACATTAGTGACTAATAGCGAAAGAAATGCTTTGTTTCTTACTATTTATGGCTTTTAAAGTTAGCTTTATAGCTCAATAAATAACAAGCTACTCCATCATTTCTAGTAATGTAAATGAAAATTACAAGTTTGACAATTTTTTTAAATTTCCAACATAATTACGTGAATTGAACTTCATGTGTCAAGATCGACCCTTGGTATTGTTTTATCTGAAAACTTTATTCAAATAGTGTATTTCAGAAACATTTTCAAACATTTTTGAATTTCAAAATTACTTTATTTTGTATTATATCAGGGGGAGAAAAATGAGACCCAATGTAACTCATGATATAAGGCTGAAATATTAGGGAAAAAAATACAGGAAAAAAGTTTTGATTTGCTATCCACAGTACATTAAATTAAATGTGTGTGCATTAATGCCATTGACTTTTGTCAATTGTCATGATAATGTAACATATTTAAAGTGAATATGACAGTCTGAAACGTAAACTGCTAAGAAAATATGCAGTCATTAAGATCCTGATAAAGCTGGTAATTATCTCAAATGTTCTAATCTATATATACATTGTATCTACATAAATGTAGAGATTGCATGATGTAGAAAAAAAACCCTTGTCATTAACTTCTATATGTATTGTATTTAGAATGGCAGTAATATCTGACCTTTCTACATCAATAATAAGATTTTTTTTCTTAGAAAATCTATTTTTTTTTTGTCACAAATACATGTAGTAACAAATACGAGAAAAAAATATTTTTTCACCATGCACTGGTAAAAAATACCCACAGGTACAAAAAACTTAAAGTAACTGCAGATCTGTATCTGTATGGAGAAACAGCTCACTTTTTTGTGTGCAATAAATGTACATGCACTTTTTTCAATGGGTGGCACTGTAGCTCTCTGGTCTTCCATCCCAATTTTTTCAGACCAGCGAGCTACAGATGATCTGAGATCTGCAGCTAGTACCAAAGAAATATAAGGATATAAAGTTCAAAGTTCTTCATTGAAAAAGAAAATAATGTTTATTGTACACACATATATGGCATTGTAAAACTCAGAGGTGCTTTCATTTAAAATAAGGAAACAATTCCAATCTTATTTTTTTTCAAATGAAAATAACAAACCAAAACATAATTTTCTCTATTATCATACCTATAGATGCAAAATGCATAAGGACCTATTTGCTCTTTTCAAATTTACATCTCTATTTAAAAAAATAAATGAGATGAATCTAATTAATGTAAACATATTATACCCATGATCTTCTGTGGACAGGAAATATCCTATGTGACACACAGCAATATGAAGCACTACCAATCACCTTCCAGTTACATACATAGACACTGAGTATACTATTCTCAATGCATTCATTGAAATTCACATCCCATAAGCTTTCCATAAGCTTTCTGAATCAATACACAAACATACTCTCTGTGATTAGTTCTAGTATCAAATGTATTTCGTGCATCTAGCTTTAAAGCTGCTGAAATTGACAATGTATATTATGCAAATGCCTAACATAATTATATTACATTTATACTTTCACAATAATTTGATAAAATTTCATAACATATCATCAATTTTACTGGCAGATATATAAGATATTTTTTAACACTCAGCTGCACTGCATCATCCTGTTCATGTGTAATGACACCCCACCCATTATTAAGCATCATGTGACGTACAAGCCAGAAATACTTTCTAGTGAAAAAAATCTTTATTCATGCAGTTTCTCAGTCTCCCATGCAGAGTTGTCATTCGTTCCTCTCTGTCTTGTGAATGTATGAGCTGATGGTAGAGAGTGGCATGTTTCTGCATATCACTGATAACATAACTTAATGCAAGAATATTTTTCCACATTTATTCCTCTCTTTTTCAAATTAAGTGCTATGCAAATTTCCACACAACAATTATTGGGAGGAAGGGAGACATGAGGAGGTGTTGGTGGGGTAGAGGGGAGGGGGGTGGAGGGGGTAATGAGTGGGTTGGTGATATGTAATACTCACTGCTGGTTAAGGGGCTGTCTTCAGATGTGTCTGCTGTCACATTTAATGTGTCATCTTGTTCTATAAAAATACAATTAACATGTATCATTTCTCCCACTATATATGCACACTAATACAAATCATTCCCTCTCTCTCTCTCTCCAAAAACAGAAACAAAACATTTATTTTTGGTTATCAGTACTTATTGATATCTTTGGTTTTGCTTTGCCTTAATATCCCTGCACCCACATGCACAATTTTGACAGGATGAACAATTTTTGAAGTGTGCAATGAATATTAAACCAATGTGGTCAGCATTGTAGAGATCAATGAAGTGTAATATAGCAACTGATTTTTCAAATTTCACTTTTAAAGTCTTAACATACATGCACATGCAGTAATTTGCCAAATTTTAACGCAGGAAATTGGAATAATTTGATATCATACATAATATGTTATAAATTTAAAAAGATTCTGATGTTGTCCATTGGATGCAGAAAAGTACATTTAGAATATAATTGATCAAGATACCAGTTTCTTTGTTCTCCAGCATTGGGATTTTCTCCCCCTTTCCCTCCGCCATTGTCAGCTCACAGCTGGAAAAACATAATTTATTATTGTAATAGCTGCTACTGGTGTATGAGTAACACAGTATTAGTGTGTCATAGATGAACTGCAGTACAACTTTAGACAAAAATTAATAACATTGAACATTATATCTAAAGCATGTAAATGTAGTCACACATATTATGGACTATCATGCCAAAATATACTTTCTTAGCATGATTATTACGGTACATCATTATGACTAATTTGAAAATTTAAGATTATTTCAGGGGAGTTTGAATTAATGGGTCATAAGCTTAAGGAAGTTTTTACTTTTTAAATATCTTGGATTTCTCTCTTTATAGATATTCCACTGCATATGTCAAGTATGTCATGACATAAGATTATATAGTCAATAAAACACTATTGACTAAGCTTTACAAATTTGCACACTTGCTGAAATAAAAGTTTATTGACAGTCAGTTAAAGATGCAATAAATATGTATCTAGACTTCTTCAGATCACTTTTAAACAGCTGATATGGTAGGCTGGCATGAAACTCCATTTGAAATGTATTAGAACTTTTAAATTAATTAAGCTTCATTAATTAAACCAAAACTTATAAAAAGTTTTCATTCACATGTGTGTTAATTCATTCATATATGTATGGTTTTACTATGCTCACAAAACTGTACATAGCACAATGCAGAGAACTTTATACCAAATTTTTTTTAAAACTCAAGTAGATCGAAAGCAGGAAGAGATTTACTTATTTATGTGATAAACTTGCTTGTGACTGAGTGTTTTCGGAAGTTAAGACGTGTTTAGAATTTTTTTTTTTTTTTAAAAAGAGCATTTAGAAAATTCTTTTCTTCTCACTAAAAATACATTTAATGTTAGTGGTCAAATTGAGATATGAAGTAGGAATACACTCAAATACACAAATCTTAAGTCGTTGAGCTGTCTTGTTGAGTCAATACGATGAAAATTTACTTGTCAACGTTTTACATTACTAGTGCATATATAATATAGATGAAATGGAAAGAAGCATAAACACAGAAAGTCATAGTCGGACAAACTTTTTCATTAGCAATGTTCTACATAATTTATACAGTAAATTAAATACCGGTAGGAGTTTAAAATTATAAGAATGAACATGATAATTCGATAAACATGATAAAGTAATGTGCCTTTTGATATTACAGAAGTTAATTAATAAAATTTTTCATTTACAGTTTGCTTAAAACTATAGAAATTGTAATGTTCTTGATGCTATCAAGTGAACATGCCACTCCCCCTTCCATTTTCATATTCTTTGTCTATACCATTTTATCAACTTAAAGATGATTCAGAAGATAATCAAATGTGTGGTGGTCAGAGGGGTTCAATCAATGATGGCCAAATAGCTCAATTGGTAGCTAAAGCACCTGACTGGAGATTCAGGGGGCCCAGGTTCGAATCTCTGTCTGGTCCATTGCATTTCTCTCCACTTCTATTATAAATATAATATGTTCTGTATGTTTTGTAATTGCCCAAATTATCAAAATCTTGATTCAACTTAAGTTTAAATATTGCCTTTATATACACACATTCTCCCAAATTACAGAATATTTATTTATTTTGCAAGGATTTGAAAATTCCCTCCAAAAACTCAACACAATCACCTTACCTTGTGGACCAAAAGTTAAATCTTAATTGTGTCATTCTGTTTATTGCAAATTATTTATTATTAATCATTTCACATACATGACTGTCTTGAGATACTCTGGAAGGTTTCAAATGATTACTCAATGTTTCAAAATAACAAAATACATCCACCAATCTGTCTCCAAATGCGAGCTCTGTCACTTATTATTGTGTGAGGTTGTATTTACAACTTCACAGGCTTTTCACAGTATCAAGTTTTCTTGTTCATTGTATTTCAAGAAAGCTATCAACAATTACATATTTTAAATACATCTGATACTGAACTCATGCGAAAATATGTTATACAATGGCTTAAGAATAACCTTTGATGCATTGTGACAATGTGGTTGGTTAAAAAGTATTTATTTAAATGGGGTCCCTTGCAAGTTGAATTATTTGAGTAAGAATTAATGTTCTTATGCTGCAACTAAGGCTGTTAATGACATTATAAATAATTATCTTTAGTTCACTGTTAATTTGTAAACAATAAAGATTTAAACAACAATTGAATAAATCATGGTGTCTAGGTACTACGACACCATAGAACATGTTTTATTCAATTCTGAAAAGAATAAGCTTGATATAAAATATAACCAAGTCTCATACAGAATCTAGAAGACCCTAAAGTTCTGTCAGAGCCATAATAAAAAGTTTATATAATAGAAGCGCGTCTTAAAACTCTGTCATGCCCTTCTCAGGCTGCTGAGAGTGAGACCGACTCAGGCGACTGACACAATGCTTTGACATGTTTCAGCTAGCTATACGCTGCAAAAATCAAAACTATCTAAATGAAAAGGAGGATCAAATTCCTATTAAAAACAATTTTTCCACTATATTTTCTAAAATCCCTCTATTACAATTAAATTGATAAGGTTACATACCTTCCAAGGTACCTGCCTTTGAGATTTTTTTTTCTCCAACGGAAGTAACTTGCAGCGCCCCCTTTTGTTGATATTGAAAGTGCTGCGAAAACGAGGGGTCATCTCAAGATACAGAGAGGCTCATACAGATGCTACGCGAACGCATGCATGCGTATTTGAGTCTCTGGTATCACCACTGTAATCTATTTTAATTATTATATTATTATCCTGGATAGCGGGAGACACAAGAGGGTGAATGTAACATTAGTGACCTTTATATCGTGCATCAGTACAGAACAGAACATCTATTTTCTGATTTATAGCATAGGCACTCCCCAGCTTAATTGTTAAAAAATATAGATCTACTATACTATAAACATACAGTATAGTAGATCTATATTTTTTAACAATTAAGCTGGGGAGTGCCTATGATTTAGAGCCCATAACTGACAAGTATGAAATTATTACAAAAATAAGGAAAAGATATGCCAATGCATGGATAGTATAACAATTTGCTCATTTCAACAATAATATTGTACTATTTCAGTTAAAAGGAATACTTTATATAAAAATGTATGGCTACTACAACATGTTATCATTTATGAATTTGCCCACAAAATTAAGTTTCTTTCTCTTCAGTATTGAGTAACCAAAAAAGTTTTTGTTCATCATCTAACGCCGAGAAATTTGGAAATTTACTTTTAATTGACTGAAAAATTTCTTTTCTTTGATGATCATATTTTTACATGTTATCAAAAAATGAGTTTCATCATCTACACTGTTAGAATTGCATATATTACATAATCGGTCTTCTCGAGGGATGTTGAATGGTAAATCTTCCCACTTCAGTTTGCAATCTATGACAAGAAATTCTTAATTTACAAAGAGATCTAGATTTTCTTTGATGAAAATTTATAACTATTGATAAATTATTCTCATACGTGTAACCCCAATTTTGTCTGAGTTTTACATATGTGCTTAATTTTTCATCAGTATAACTTTGTTGACTTGTATACCATTTTTTTTTTTTTTACATAATAATCTAACAAGGTTTTTTGACAGAGTGACTTATTTGTGTATACAAAGAAAATATCTAGAAACATAATTAATGTTTTAATTATAATAAGTTTTAACCCAAACAACCAGAAGTACCAAAGAAAATACAGCGTTGAGACTCCCGAAGGAAGGGAACCCAAGAATGTTAATGTCGAAGCAATAGTCTGAAAGCGGAGGGGGGGGGGAGCTACTTGTATAAGCATGAGTAAGGTTGCTTGTACCAAAGGCTCTCAGTTTTGCCAAGGACCCCCCCCCCCCCCAAACCATACACACACAACCACACACACACACACACAACCACAAAATATATCTTTCTCTCTCTCTCTCCCTCTCTCTTTCATTCTTTTTCGGGGGAGGGGGGTACATTCTGAAATTAAGAAAAAAAAAAACGATGCTATGTGCCGGGATGTAGCCTCATTTTCCATTTGGAACCCCTTGATTTAAAAAAAAACCCACCAAGTTAGTCTGCATGCATTTGTTTTTATTTTCTTTGAAATGTAAAATGTTTAAGGTTCTAGTTTTTCTAGAGGCGGGTGTATATATACAGGTCGTAGGGCGCAAATATATACGCAGTACAACCATCTATATAATTGTGTACTTCATAATTTAGTTCGGTTTTCTAGCCCTAGAACCGCGCCTTCCAATATACACTCATTCCAACATTCATAACGGTTATCATTTCATGAAAATGGGAATTTTTACCAACTTGGTCGTTGAATCCCCCATCCAATTTACCCATTTAACCTCTATTTTAATCCAATAAATTTGATCTGTATGTACATGCAGTTAGTAAGAGATTGTACCACAGCAAGCTGAGCACTTACAGATGTCATAAATCAAGATCGGTGGCTTATAATTTTATTTAGAATATTTTCGGCCTTTCATCTATAAGTATCTACATGTATATCAATTAAGTTATGCTCTTAATTTGTGTTTTCACATTTTCTTAAAAGAACATTTATAACTACATGTACAACGCCACTCTGTATATTTGCACTGTGCAATATCAAACATACCGAAATATTATCTATAGAATTCTTACGCTTTTTGGTTCATTGGTGTAAATTTGTCCAGCTGGACACTACAGTGAAAACCAGAGAACGACATTATTACATGTATATTCTGAAAATATCTTTAATACAATACAAAATTAATACAATACTAAATTAATACAATTAAATTACATTAATCATTCTGAAGAGAAGCTTGAATCTGTGCAATAATATTGTCAATCTCCTCAGACACATAAGCATCGAATTCCTCCTCACGGAGACCGGTGTCCACGTCTGTACCCAAATCCTCTGGGTTAATGATATACTGCCTTTTAGGCTTGTCTTCTGAAATGTTAAAGAAGGACGAATACTGTTTCAGAAGCATCTAATTGCATTTTTTTTCTTGACTTACGTCTGGAGAGAGAGAGAGAGAGAGAGAGAGAGAGAGAGAGAGAGAGAGAGAGAGAATACTCACTATTGAGTAGATAACAGACAATTAAAAACGTTTTATATACCTAATTTGGAAATTATTTGACTAATAATTTTCAGTCTTAACTGGAAAATGTTAACGTTTTGTCTGTTGAGTTCCACAGTGAATCAAATACGCTTATCCCACGAACCTTTCTCCTCCAACCATTTTTTGATCTCCATAATTCCCATTACAACCCAGGACCAACAGGGAAACATCACTGCTGGAATTCTGCTGTAAAATTTAATTTTTAAAAAAGCATGAAAATTTACCAACGAAACAAAAAACTGTAGAATTAATAAACATAAATTCATGAGCATTATTACGTACACTTACCCTTTGCAGCACGTAGAACAGAATCAGTAGATAAAAAGATAATGTCAGTCGAGCTATTTGTCTAAAAATGCCCCCAGAAATATCCTCAAAAATATATGTGTAGGTCTTGGTTAACAATGATTAGATTATGACGCTGTAAGTATTGTGACGTCATAATGCAAAGTAAAGATATCCCGCTTTGGGCTAAATGTACTTCTAAGAAGGTGTTGATACCCTGAGTGTTTGGTAATATAGATGTAATACTGTGAATTATATTAAAATGTTTTTGAAAATACAGAATTAAATAAAAATAACTTTGGATAAAAAATATAGTTATACGCACATGTATTTATTGATTGTTACTTATAAAACGTTAGATCCACCCTTATATATTCATTATATTAAACGTAAACCTGTAAACATAACTAATTAACATAGGGTAGAAGGAAGGTATAAAGTTTTCTTGAATGCTTTTGGTAATTTGTTTGTCAAGTTAGTTTTGGTTTGTTTTATTTTGATGGTCATCGATTGGTTTGACATTCTTTGTCTCGTTGAGAAAGAGCAACACCATATATCATTAATGAAAACGTTTGCAGCCATAAATATTCCTTATATGTAGCCTTACCACACAAAATGGCAAAGGACTACCGGTATTCGTTCTAAATAGTATTTTTACGCACATATACGGGATAAAATTAATGTACACTGTACAAAATGTGTTTAGACGATAGACACATTTCTAAACACAAGCTTGTCACACTTTTTTAAATGCGTTTAAATTCTAAACATGTTTAATTTCAGTACGCGTAATGGAAAGTGTTTTGAACCTAAATGCTTACATGTTTAGATTTTAAACACAATTCTTAACAGTTTAGATTTGCGTTTAGAACCTAAACATTTCAATGTTTTAAACAAGGATCTGCAAGAAAACTGAAAATATAACAGGCGTGTTTCATTATAAGTTTTATTTAGTTATAAAAAATCATATTAAAATGCTGAAAAAAAAATGCACAGTAAAGTGTTCTCACGGAATCATCGTTCGGCGGAACTCCTTTCTTCTGTGAATGATTTTCATTTTTTGGACAGTCTTACAGAAGTTTTGACATATCATCCTTTTTGTATCTAAAGAGTTAGAAACACCCAGCTGTTGAATTGTCTGCATTTTAAGACAGTAGACTCCAGGTACAAATGTATGGTGTGCTTCTTACAATGTGATGGAATATTTCTATTAGTATTTTCTATGGCAGTATGTATAATCCATCTTCCACATTCATTAACAGAAATGAATTTCGAAGTTCCTTCTCTCGTCTATCCAATAAATTTAACCTGTAAGAAAGAACGTACGTTGCATTTAAGTAGCAGTATGTGCTCCTTACTAAACATGCTAAAGTTTTACATTAACTATTGAGCATATAATAAAAATGTTTTAATCGATATTTATGCATCTTTAGATTCAATATTTACTCTCAATAGGGAAAACATGATATGACATCCAAAGACATCCTGGATATAAAAAGCAATGTTGTTTACCTTGCTCTTCATGTAAATTTTATTTAAACAAAAGCATACATACCCTCTATAGAAGTAACAAAAAGCCTTTCATGTGTATTTTACTATTTCTGCGATCACTGTCACTCAAATTCTCACCAGTTTCCTTGAAAATATCGTTTACTGTTTTGTTGTGACTTTCTTTGTTTCGACAACCGCGCTTATAAACGTTCAAATATATATCATTTCCGGGAAGATAACTCTGCACTTGACCGAATTTAAAACAAAAAACATGTTCAATATCTAAACGCGTATAGATTTTAAATACATTAAGACTCAAGTGTTTAGTTGTTAAACACAAAATCAAACATGTTTAGATCTAAACACGTAATGGAAGTGTTTATTTCCTAAGCACAATTTTTACAGTGTAGTACCTGTCTGAGTTATCTCCCTTGAATGAGATCCGTTATGATCAATTAGTATCAATATATTAATTATCTATAAGAATTATATATTGTTAAGATTTACACTGTATTTATAAAGCGATAATTGATATAATGTGATACGATTTCATTGTTTTATTATTACATATCAGGGGGATTTCATTTTTAATCGTGTAAAAACTCCCAACGTGTACATATAGACCTGGGGCCCGTTTAACAAAAGAACTAAAGACTAAAATCCCCCCCCCCCCCAATGTTTTTGCCAATTATTTTCTTCGTGAAAAAGGTATATATATCTATTCTTTTCAGATTTTGGAAAGATATTTTTCGACAGCAATTTTAATAAAAAATTATTAGGTAAGGCAAGATGTTTGAAACATTTTTATTGTTGGTCTTAATCGTAAGTTCTGTGGTAAAACGGGGTCACAGAATCTTGAACAGTCTTATTGATAAACACCTTGTTATAAAATAATCCGTTGTTTTACTCCTAAAAGACACGGATGCATTTATTTTTTTTCTCACTGACTTATGTGCAGGCTAAACTAGTACAAAACAAGGAAAACTGCATTTCTAAACTCAGCGAAAGCGTGCATACCCATCTACCCATCGATTGTGCCCCTGGTTTAAATAGGTGTCAAAGTCAAAATACTTTTTTTGGATAGTATGGGGAGGGGTGTCTTAAAACCAGTTTGAAACCTTTTTATTCAATTATTGAAATTATTATCACTTTTATCAATTATCAGACTTTTCTAACTATGCAGTCCATCATTGAAACTAAAAAGACAAAAGACTTGATAAAGGAAAGACAAAACACATCTTCGACATTTAATTTTTTTCTGTCCATTATGAGGCAAATTATCTTCCAGAGGACAAAGTAACTACAATTTTTTTCTGGTTTTAATGAAACAAGCATCTGTGGCGTTCAAAGTTGTACATTAAAAACAACAAAAACAGGTCTTTGTATAAAACAAAACTATATAGCAGTGTCATTATGACATATTATAATCATTGTAAAAATATACATGCATAGATTTATAGTGTAAGATGATCATCCAACACCAAGAATGTAAAAAATTTTCCCGACTTTTACTTGCAGTTAATACTTTTGTATAACATTTAGGGGAAACCTATAGATAGGAATAAAGTAATACTGATACACATGTAAAGAAAAAAAAACTACATTGTATATACTGTACATAAACATGTCTTATATGATAACTTAAAAAAATTTAAAGTACCAAAATTTTTGACGGAAGAAATTATGCCATTCACAGTAGTGTAATCCCTTTAAAACGTGCAAAACTGAGATCAAATAAGTATACAAAAGTAAAAGCAATTAACAAAGTCCATTTCATAAAGACATCAATAAAAACAGTGTGAGTTTAAAAACCTTGGACAGTTCTTTTTAATATATTGTAATTCATTTATCATTCTAAACTTTTGTATAATTCAAAAGCTTTTGAGAAAAAAGAAGAATTGATAGATGTACCAGAATCATGGTCTTCACATGCAGGGTTCTCATTTTCGGTAGATCCTGTCGCACCTAAATTTGACACGGACTCCTCTGAAGACAAATTCTCATGTTCTCTGTAAGTGGTATTGCCACTTGCCATAAGAGTTTGCGGTGTACATGTATAACCGTTCGCATTGAGGGCATTGACGTTTGATTCTGCAGAAACTATGGTCGATTGCGATTCTTGAGTGCCTTTTTGTTTAGTGTTATCTTCAAGTGAAGTTTTTGAATGATTTTGTGGTCGATGACGCAAACCCGAAAGGTTTTCAGTACCCATTTTACAAGGAATGCCAGTTGCTTCTTTTGTACTTTGACAAAACGTTGAAGTTTCTATTTTACTAGAAGAATTCTGATAATTAAATTTCTGATTGTTTAAAGAAGATGGCAGACAAGACCGAGGAACTGTTTCCTCGGAAGGTGATGCCAAATGCATGATAAAACCCATATTGTTTGTATGAGTTGAACCTTCTCTGATGTTTGAATCCCCCGAATAGTTGGAAGATACATTCCTTGAAGGTATGCCAGTTTCATTACCGACTGCCGTTGTGTGTAAATGACCATGAGGACAAGAGAAGCCACCTTTCACAAATGTACAATTCACACCATCAGCTTCCTCGGAGACTTGAACAGGTGATTTTGGAACAATAGGAATCCTTGGAATCGACTGTCCTTGGATATTGGCCACCTTATCTTCTGACTTTGAAACAGTACGTTCACGAAGGTCTTTGGTGAGGATTTCATTTTCCGAATTTATCGTCTGATAAACACCAGATATTGTCACATACGGACCTTGGTCTGTATTGTCCTTGCGAACGTTTGGTGAACTATGAACGCAGCTGGCAGCTATACCTGATATACATGTAGTTACCCCCTGACCTTTGTCAGCACCAGATCTTAAACAATCTTGAGTATTTTCACTAGAGTATGACGAGGATAGTTGAATTCCAGATTTTTCCTTGGATATGCTTCCTACGCCGGATAAAGTTACATCTGGATACTGGTCAGTATAATGCTTTTGGAGATTTGGAGTAGATTTTTCAGGAAATGGCAAGGCTGATGAATCGTCAGGTTTTTCTGTCGTTCTTGTTTCATATTCACCTGATAATGTAATATCAGGACCAAGATTTGATTTATCAATCGAAGAGATTGTCTGGGATTTACCCGATTGAGATACATTGGGACCACGAGAAATCAAATCCCCTGAATGTTCTGAAGAAAGGGATGTATTTTCATCAATTGATTGGTAAATTTCTTCATTCTCTTGAGGAAACGTTGGACAAGTCTCGTGATTATTTTTCTCAATATTATTTAGTTGAGATTGCTTGATTTCTAAAGGCATGTGTTCAGGGCTTAAAGAAAATCCTGTGTTAAATATGTCCTTGCACTCATAACTTTTGTCTTTCTCCAGAGATCTTCGGTTCAAATTTTTTGTGATGAGAGAATTTTGTCTGCATTCTGGATTACACGTCCTGTCTGCAGAATCGTCCAATCTTATCTCTTGAACTTGATTTCCACCATAGGATTTATTTGTTGGTTTTTCAAAATTTTCATTTTCCACCGGGGCTTTGAAAGAACTTACGCGTTGACCTCTGGTTCTCAAAGTTTCCTTTTCATGCGAGGGTTCTTGATAGATGTTGCCCTGAAAAGCACATGGGTTAGCTCGATTTGCTACAGGAAAAGAATTTTGAGGACATGTACAGGGATCGTTTGGCAAGTCAACAAAATTTGGTGAAAGAGATAAGGATTTGCAACTGCTCGCTCCATTTTGCGACTGTGGCTCCAGTATGGCTTTGATTTGTTCTTGAAGTCCCTCTCTTATTTCATCTAGATTCAAATTGAGATAAGGCAAGAAATATTTACATTGTTCTTCAATTCAAAATTACAAACCATGAAAATTGACATGGTCTGTAATTTTGCGTATTTTTAATAATGTGATGTAAGTAAAGATGTGGTTCAGTATTGAATAAAATTTACTTTCCAAAGACAAGTATTACTCACTTTGATGTGTATGTTGAGATAGAGGCTTAATGTAAGGATTAACAAAGCTTTCTTTCATATATATCCTCCGTATCCAAACGATATACTTTTTCCGACTAATAAAACATGCTGGACTACGACCTTTTTTTTGTGTTAAACCTGTTTTAAACATATTTATACCTAAATAAATTAGGTATAAATATGTTTAAAACATGTTTAACACACACACACATACCCTCACACCCACACACACACAAAGAAAAAAAAAAGTCGTAGTCCAGCATGTTTTATTAATCGATTTTATACCTAAAAAAATTAGTCGCCCGCCTGGCGCAGTGGTTAGAGCGTCTGCTCTAGAGTCGCGAAGTAAGGAGTTGATCCTTACGCCGCGAGTTCGAATCCCACTGTGGGACGTGGAGACCGGTCCTTCGGATGAGACCGTATAAACCGAGGTCCCGTGTCGCAGTAGGTGCTGGCACGAAAAAGATCCCTCACTGCTCAATGGCCGTATGTGCCGAGTATAGGACAAAATTTGCAGCTCTCCACCGGCAAGTGGTGGCGTCTCCATATGAGTGAAAAATTCTCGAGAGGGACGTTAAACAATATACAAACAAACAAACCTAAATAAATTATACTTTCTTTTGTGTTATCATGCTCATACACTGTATTGCTAAAAGTATTAACTTAATTTCTCTTTTTACAAAGAGATCTGTGTAATTTTCAGGATCATTTCAATTTAGGAAGGGAAAAATACCCTAGAATGAATATTTTCTGTATAGAAATATAAGCAAAATTAGTGACCATATAAGTTTAAAGATATTTGAATAAAAATACGAAAACAATTATTTTGATGCTGCATGAATGCATGTAAAAATATAAAAGAAGAAGCTAAATAACGACTGATTGACAATATACATGTAACTTTTTCATTGCATTCTGATAAGGTGAATCAAAACTTTAATCATAATTAACGATTAATGACTGTGTTAATTATACCTGCTTTGATGTAATTGACAGCTTCTAAGATGTGCTGAATCAAGGGATAAGGGGAAACAGTCTCGCTATCCTTGTTGTACGATAGCAAATTTCTTCTCAACAGGGGAAGGAGGTGGTTGAATTTGTATTCCGCAACGTTGTTACATTCTAGAAAGGAGATAAGTAATATGCAAAACCAAAAGATCCTTTTGCCCTCTGTTAAATTATTCATCGTAATTGCCCACTGAGGACAAAACACTACATTCTACGTAAAACGCAAAAATAAAAACAAATTCCAAATACTTAAGTAAACAATTAAATAAAAATGACATAGATGTCAGCTAAAGCTTAAAGTTTTAGAGGACATAAACACTCTTGAAGCATAACCTCTCGATTTATACATGCTTCATGTATAACAGATTCTTACTAAACAGTTTGGCGTTTGCTGCTATCGTCGATTGGCTCGTATATTTAATAATAACAAGAGTCTTCACTAAGTTGTCGCTCTGTTCTTCGCTAAGATGTTTCCACCGATTTTGCAACTGTGTGTCTATAATTTGAAAAAGTACAGATCTGAAAAAATACGTCAGTATTTGGAGAAAAGTCTTGATAATTTCATAATCAAAAGAATCGTACTGAAGAGAATAAATTCCTGTGGTAAAAGGAATATTTCATAACTTAAAGATAAGATAAAAAAAAACCTTACTTATCCTTTCTGGATGAGGAAGGAATTCATCGCTCAGCACCTCAATAATCTGTTTTACCATTAACTTTATAACCACATCAACAGATATAACATTATCTTCCATCAACAGACCTAAAACATACGAATAATTTATGGATGTATTCTTGTAAAAGTTAGATATAATTACATTTACAAAAGCTAACATTTGGGTACATGTATATCTTTTCTTGCACTGTTTTATTTATAGTAAAGGTAAAGAGATGCATAAAACAATTTAAAAAAATGCTGAAAAAATTTTCCCTGTGAAAAAAAATATTACCTGCATTGATAATAGCTGGTGGTATACCGTCACATAGTAAGATTAATTGTCGACACAACTTCGCATCTTCTGTGCAGGAAGGCCATACGTCATTTAACAGTTCCATCGACTCACTCTCCGTCAAAGCAGGAATCTTCTGCATCCAGAAAACCCTCCTCAACTCTGCAAAACGAAATTCGTCTGTGGAAGAGATAATCAGATAAAAGTTGCTGCATTCTGTAAGCAATGGTTTGACGCCTTCTGCATATATTTGATCCCAGAGGGTTTGGTTTGTTGAATCTGTAAGGTTTCCATCCGAGTCTGGTTTGGACTTGGCTTCTTCTTGATGGTCATGGTGAAAAATGTAAACATCCTCACTGTCTTTCAGAGACTTGATTATCTTTCGTATGCATCTGCAATTTGTATGTGAACAAGCTTCACAGTCCTCTATGCTTAAACACCCAGCAACAGTTTCAACGTACACTTTAAAACTTTTGATGCAATGGAAATCAAGAGCGAGTACTTTCACTTGATCATTTTTATCAGAAGTCCTCAAAATTCGAAGAAAGTTCTCCACATATCTCGTTTTGCCGACACTCTTAGGACCATAAATTCCGAAAATTCTGTTCTGACCATGATTCCAAGCTACTTTAAGATTTTCAGTACATTCCACTCGTCCGACAAATATATCATTCATTTCCAAGATATTTTGGCAAAACTGTTGTTAAGTTTGGTGTATTCAACTCTCATAATTTCAATGAAAAATCCATCACCATTTGGAACAAAACGAGCAATTCTGGCTTTCTATTTGTAATTCGTACAAATTCGGAAGTACAGTTGTTATCTCTCTGCAAAATGAAACACATATGATGACTTTCATTTGTTTACAGAAAAGAGATGGGAGATTCGTACATCACGAGTAAAACAGCGTGCTTGATGTAAAGAAGAATAATTAATCTGTGATATGAATTTCCTTCCAGGATAAATACATGTAGGAGTGGCAGGGGGAAGATACTTGTACATTGTACTCTTTTGTTACGAGAGGTACTTAAAGTACTTGAAATTGTCACCTACCAGCTTAAAAAAATACTATTTTATTGTACAGATTTATTGGAAAAAATACTTTTTTCTTTAGTGTCCATATATCTGGAACGTAAGCATTAAGAGACATTTCTGAGATTATGGGTTCACAAACAGTAACCAAATGATGTAAGTATAGTCCTCAAAACTTCAATTTTCGATCGCGACTTCTTTTTTTCTGCTATGTGCTATGAAATAAGGCCCCTGTCATACACACGTATATTTATTTACATGTCTTTTATTTATTTATCATATTCATATTTTTTTTGGTCGATCATTTTAAGATCACACCACTTAGACTTTAAACTTTATTTTCAGGAAATATTAACGTAGAAAGACGAGGATGAAAAATATACACAAACCCAAAAATAAAATGAAAATTAAATGGTAAATTAAGATTGGATATGTTCGAAATTTTTTAAAAATTATAACTGACCTACTTTCACACGATCTGCAATTTTTGCATGATTTCGAAAACAAAAGCAAAATTCACTCAATAAGTAAGATAAGTTACTGTGGTATTTAAAGCGTTTGTGATGCTCAAAGCTAATTCACTTACGTAGAATCCACTCAAACACAAAATCCCCCTACAGACTTCACTTAAGGAAAGAAACCACTTTATTTACCCAGGAGGCGTTAAACTTTAAGAAATGTATTCCTTATAAAATTCCAGGATTTTGTACAAATTTATTGAATAACTTGTTTACTTGAATCTGATTTGTCTATTTCATACGTAAATGAGTATTATGTATTGTACATTATAAAATACGATCTACGGCGCTCTCATCTGGGCCGCATCATTTGAGCGGGGCTCTTCGGAGCGACATTCTAGGAGAGAGCCACTATACGATCATCTGTAAGACTCACAACTTTCAGTTAATAAACTCTTTGCAAACATTTGGTTTCATTGGCTTACAGGTATGACAGTAAATTCTTATAATTTACATGATAGACGTGTAAGTGCCGCTTGTGCACGTGAACCGCGCCGAAAGGTGAGATAATGACCACATGAAACTACGATAGTTGAGAGAAACTGCGCGGATTTAGACAGCCCCCCCCCCCCGGGAAAGAGTGAGAGAGATTGAATCCAGTATGTTAATCTAGTTTTGCTTTGATGGTAGACATCATTAATTACATTTTAGGGTATACGTACTGCATGTATAAAAATATTTTGAATTTCCAGTTTGAATTGTTTTCCATGGCTTTCACTACCTTATTCTGGAAGCAATTCTTTTCTTTCTTAATAACACTAAAATGGATGCTTAAACTAAGAAATTGATTTAAAACTACATGCACTATGCACCCCCCCCCCCCCCATCATGCATTGCCTGGAACCTGCACGATTAAAAACTGATAATAATTAAAACAAGCTAACCCAAAGTCTACCTTCTTTTTTTTGTATCATAATCTATATCATTAATTTTATAGAATTTAACAATGAAAATGAAAATGTGCGAGGGTTGTGAAAAACGCGAACTTTTAAATATTTCATAAACTATCTGACCAAAATTATTCATTTTTGGCATAAAGTTGGGAAATTATATTTTTGTAATTTTGGCTAAATATAATAAGGTTTCAATGCCATTTGCATTTTTAAACATCGTTTAAAGGGTGTTAAATATCGGTGGCCGGTGCACGGCAATTTCTTGACAATCAAAAATAGCATTGACAGCAATGTTTTCTTTACTACCGGGCTATACGGATATATAATGTGACAAAAATTATATCCTTAGAACCTTTATGTTCTAGAGTACTCGTGTGTAAAATAAAAAAAATCAATACACTTACTTCATAATTAATAGCAAAAATATGACGTTATATTCACAAACACTATTAATTAGATATTGCCAAAAACGGCGATGTCGAGCGGTAATGCGGCGCACCAAATTATCACTCTGTGTTGTGTGGAGCGGGGTTTGACTCCTGTTCATACGGAAAAAGAGCTGGGAACGAGGGAACGACACATGTACAAATACATGTATCGATCACAGGTTAGTACATAGTAAAAGAGGTTCAAATATGAATGAACTGGTTATCCGATGGAAGAAGCGTTTGGTTGGCCGACAAAAAAGACGATAAACTGAAAAGGCTAGAGCTGGACGTCATGCATGGAGACCACCGTTAAGTATTCGAGCAGTTAGGTTTATGATCGAGGTTGGGAAATTGTTTATTAAAAGAATTTATTCCTTGATTTATTCTGAACTGCAGTACACGTGTGAAATTAATAACTCGGTAACTAAAAGAAAATAAAATGCACTATCGAATTTATGCATGAACGATTTTTTAAAGACGCACTATTCCTGAACAAATTCAAAAACTCCAAGAATTACGTTTTGACGTCGTCGGTGTTGCGCCGGCAGCTGTTTTGAATGATTCCTTTACCAAAGAAAAAAATGTTATTTATGGATATTATTTACTGAAATTTCTGTGAATTATTTCAAAAATGTTGATTTTAATGCATGCCAATTTTTAACTTTAAAATATTAGTGAAACAAAAAATATTGAAAATGTTCGCGTTTTTTGGGGGGACAACCCTCGTATACATCCGTCAACGTTCAATGGGCTTTGTTCATTTCTGAATCGAACTTTCTCTGACGTCCGCGCCCAAGAGAAATTAATTGGAGGTCATCATAATGATCACGATGTAGTCTAACTAAAATTTATTCCATGCTTTATTATTTATTATGTACAACATTGTGTTCCAAATAAGAAAACGATTCTAGGCGAATTTAATGTAGATTACAATGACTTTTAAGAATCACAACATGATGAATAAACAAGTCATATACCATCACAAAGCATGAAAGAAACTTTCTATATTCCAGTGGCTGACTCTCAGCTTTTTTTAAAAAGCTAACCTTGTACTCGACATTAGCTTGGGCCTCTGAATAGTTGCACTAAATGTAAAGCGGGAACGACGGGACGAATTCTTCCCGGAATTTATTCTATACTTTGTGAACAATTGCTTTTTAGCACTCAGGCTCTACAAAATTTTATCTGATTTGATCATAATGGTCTTACTAAGTTACCAACAACATAATTTAAAAAAATCAAAAGGTATATTGTACATTCCGGGAAAATTTCGTTAAATCATAGTTCTTTTTACAGTAATAAACAACATGCCTGTGAAGTTGTTGAAGCAAACGTTTTCTAATTTTTTTTTTTCGCGAAAGGAATTATTACTGACTTAACCTTACGATCTGGAGTAAAAAATCAACTTTAAAATGTTGAAAGATTTTGCAAATACTATGCAGCTGTTCGCTGCAGTTCAAGCACCGTCTGTATACATGTGAATAACCAGGGCCTAAGCTAATGTCGAGTAAAAAAAAGTAGGTCAATTTTGGAATTGATTTCACTAAATCTCGGGAAATACATGGAATTTCGGAATGAACTTTGGTATTAATGTAGATTGATTATACATGTATATGAATAGATATGAATAGAAAGTAAAACTTAAGAGCATTCGATTTAAAAGTATTTTATTACATGTAGCGAAAGTTGGTACCCTTTGTAAGGAGTTCCATACCTTTATCTTTTTTATACACCCCAATTTTTTTAAAGTCGGATTTAAGCGATCCAAAGGCCCGTGAACATAAATAATTAACATAGGGTAGAAGATTTAGGTTAAAGTTTGAATGCTGTTGGTAATTTGTTTGTCAAGTTAGTTTTGGTTTGTTTTATTTTGATGGTCATCGATTGGTTTGACATTCTTTGTCTCGTTGAGAAAGAGCAACACCATATATCATTAATGAACACATTTGCAGCCATAAATATTCCATATATTTAGCCTTACCACACAAAATGGCGAAGGACTATCGGCATTAGTTCAAAATAGTATTTTTATGCACATTTATGTAGTACCTGCTTGAGTTATCTCCCTTAAATGAGATATTCTGTAGTGTCCAGAAATTTATTCAAGAATCAGATAGATTCTAATTCAAAACAGTGTCTTTGATTTCAATATGTATATGTAGAATGAACATTTTAATTTTTGGGGCAAACATGAAAGCTCCTTGTTCAATAAACATTGTAATCAGTGTATATGTAACATTAGAGCTCTGGTAGATTACTCGGAGTATGTGTCTTTATAATTTTCATATATTTTACATGTATAACATAATTTTTTGTAAGTTATTTCAATTTATTTGTTATGACAATCATCATGATCATACTGTATTTATTGTTTGTATAATAAGGAGAGGATCTATTAAGTTGAAAGAACTTGTATCCAATCCTTTTGTATGTTAATCATACAATAAATTATGTTCAAATCAAATAAGATCTGTTGTGATAAATTAGTATCAATATATTATCTATAAGAATTATACATAGATAAGAATTACACTGTATTTATAAACCGATAATTGATATAATGTGATACGATATCATTGTTTTATTATTACATATCAGGGGAATTTCATTTTGAATCGTGTAAAAACTCCCACCGTGTACATAAAGACCTGGGACCCATTAACAAAAGAACTAAAGACTGAGAACCCCCCCCCCCCCAAAAAAATTGTTTATTCCCAATTATTTTCTTCTTTACACTTATTTGAAAAGGTATGTATATAATCTATTCTTTTCAGACTTCGGAAAGATATTTTTCGACAGCAGCAATTTTAATGTAAATATTAGGTATAGGCAAGATGTTTGAAACATTTTTATTGTTGGTCTTAATCGCAAGTTCTTTTAAAAAACGGGTCCCAGAATCTTGACCATTCTCATTGATATACGCCTTGTTATATAAAAAAAAATTGTATTACTTCTATAAAAGACGCAGATGTATTTAATTTTTTTGTCTCAATGTATTGTGCAGGCTAAATTATTACAAAACAGAAATAACTGCATTGATTTGATTTAAACATATTTTATTGAGTAATTCAATAAAGATTGGGCAACAAGCAAAGCCTATGCACACCCTCACCTTGTATAATAGGTCAAGACACAGACATTGAATAAATAATACTTGAACATGGTAATAAACTTGCTAATAATAGAAAATAAAGATTCATAATCAAGTATTATTCATCAGTATCATAAAAAAAATATGATAACCCGCTAAATGTATACAAATTATTTACATACTGTTCCGGCTTTAATATAAATATTGTAAAAAAAATATATATATACATTCAACAGAGTATTTAATATTATAGTGTACTCAACTAAGTCTCTTAGTAGATTTTATAAATTCATGTACATATATAAAAATATTTTAGTTTGTTTGATAGGAATATTGACTTTTGCCTCTTAACAGTGTCGAGTTCAAAAACAACATCTATATCATTTAATTTTTTTACCAGTAAATTTCTTTGAACAATATATGATGGACATTTCATGTAATGTTCAGTATCCTCTGTATAAAATCCACATTTTTGACATGATTGTCCGTCTGATAAAAAATGATTTTTTAAACTGCATTCTGGTTTCCAATAGATTTTAAACTCAGCACAAAAGCGTGCAAACACATTTCCCCATCGGTTCTCCCCCCTGATTTTAATGTGTCAAAGTCTTAAAAACTTTTTTTGGATAGCTTGGGGGGTGGGGGTGGGGGTGTTCTTAAAACCAATTTAAAACCTTTTTATGCAATTATTCAAATTTAATATCACTTTTATCTATTTTCAGCCATTTCTGATCACTGATACTAAAAAAATCCTATTCTTCAACAAAAGACTAAAAGATCGAAGTAATGTTAGACACGTTTTCGACATTTGATATTTTTCTGGCCAATATCAGGCAAATTATCTTCCCGAGAACAAAATATTTGTAATAGTTTTTCACTGGTTTTAATGAAAAAAGTTTTTGTGGCGTTCATAATTGTACATAAAAAACAACAAAAACAGGTCTTTGTAGAAAACTTTGTCATAAAAATATACATGCACAGTTCCAACTAAGCTAAGCATTCAGCAAAGAGAATAAAAAATTGTTCTGACTTTGACTGACAGTTAATACTTCTGTATAACATTAAGGCGAACATTTCCTATAATCATCTATAGATAGAAATAAATTAATACTGATACACATTTAAAACAAACACTGTAATATACATATATGTCATATGATAACATATAATAATTTAAATTACCAAAACTTTTGACGGAAGAAAAAAATGCCATTTACAGTGGTGCAATTTCTTTAAAATATGCAAAGTTAAGATGAGATCAAAATAAGTATACAAAAGTAAAAGCAAATAACAACGACGATTTCATAAAGGCACCAATAAAGACAGTGTGAAAAGTTTGAACACCTTAAGATCGTTTTTATATATGGCAATTTCTTTATCATTCCAAACTGTTGTAAATATCCACAACTTTGGTAACATTCGAGAATAAAGAAGAACCTAGGGATGTAACAATTGATGAATAAGAAGCATGGTCTCTGTTAACTCTACAATAAGGATTCTCATTTCCAGTAGATCCTATCGCACCACGATTTGCCATAGATTCTCCATAAGACAAATTTTCATGTACCCTATGCGTGGTATTGCCACTGGTCATAAGAGTTTGAGGTGCATTACCGTTGTGGACATCGACGTTTGATTCTGAAAAAGATATGGTCGATTGCGAACCTTGGGAGTCTTTTGGTTTAATGTTTTCATGTAAAGTTCTTGAATGATTTTGCGGTCGATGACGCAAACCTGAAAGCTTCTCAGTTTCCATTTTACAAGGAATTCCAGTTGCTTCTTTTGTGCTTTGACAAAACTTTGAAGTTTCTATTGTACTTGAAGGATTCTGACTATTGGATTTCTGATTGTTTAAAGAAGATGGCACACAAGGCTGGGGAACTGTTTCCAGGGAAGGTGACGCCTCATTTGTGATAAAACCCATATTATTTATATTAGTTGAACCCTCTCTGAGGTTTGAAACCCCCGAAAAGTTGGAAGGAACATTCTTTGAAGGTATGCCAGTTTCATTAATGACTGCCGTTGTGTATAAATGACCAAGAGGATAAGGGAAGCCATCTTTTACAATTGTACAATTAACACCGTCAGCTTCTTCAGAAACTTGAACCGGAGATTTTGGAACAATCCTTGGAACTGTCTGTCCTTGGATATTGGCTTCTCTCTCTTCTGACTTTGAAACAGTAAGTTCACGAAGGTCTTTGATGAGGATTTTATTTTCGGAATTTATCGTCTGATATACACCAGATATTGTCACATACGGGCCTTGGTCTTTATTGTCCTTGCGAACGTTTGGTGAATTATTAACAGGCTTTTCAACGCAACTGGCTGCTATACCTGATATAGTTACCTCATGGCCTTTTTCAGCACCAGATCTTAAACAATCTTGAGTATTTTCACTAGAGTATGACGAGGATAGTTGAATTCCAGATCTGTCCAAGGGGATGCTTCCTACGCCGGATAAAGTTACATCTGGACACTGGTCAGTGTGTTGCTTTTGGAGATTTTGAGTAGGTTTTTCAGAAAATGGCAAGGCTGAAGAATCATCAGGTTTTTCTGTCATTCTTGTTTCATATTCACATGATAATGTAACAGCAGGACCAAGATTTGAATTATCAATCGAAGAGTTTTTCTGGGATTTACCCGACTGAGATACATTGGGACCACGAGAAATCAATTCCTCTGAATGTTCTGAAGAAAGGGATGTATTATCATCAGCTGATTGATAATTTTCTTCATTCTCTTGAGGAAACGTTAGACAAGTCTCATGATTATTTTTCTTACTATGATTTAGCTGAGATTGCATGATGTCTAAACACTTGTGTTCAGGATTTAAAGAAAATCTTGTGTTTAATATGTCCTTGCACTCATAAATTTTGTCTTTCTCCAGAGATCTTCGGTTCAAATTTGTAACGAGAGAATTTTTTCTGCTTTCTGAATTACTGTCAGAGTCGTCCAATCCCATCTCTTGAAGTTGGATTCCACCAAAAGATTTAATTGGTGGTTTTTCAAAGTTGTCATTCTCCACCGGGGTTTTGAAAGAACCATTGAGTTGTCCTCTGCTCCTCAAATTTTCAATGGAGGGTTCTTGATAGATGTTGTTCTGAAAAGCACACTGTTTAGCTCGATCTCCTACAGCAAAATAATTTTGAGGGCATGCACAAGGATTGTTTGGCAAGTCAACAGAATTTGAACAAAGAGACGATGTTTCACAATCAGAAAGGCAACTACTTGCTCCATTTTGGGGTCGTGGCTCCAATATGGCTTTGATTTGTTCTTGAAGTTCTTCTCTTATTTCATCTAGATTCAAATTGAGATAAGGCAAGTAATATTTTCAATTCACAATAACAAAGCATGTAAATTGATATGGTCCGTAATTTTGCATATTTTTAAAAATGTGATATAAGTAGAATATGGGGTTTAGTTTGAAAAAAAAAAAACATACTTTCTCAAAACTAGTATTACTCAATTTGATGCTTATTACAAGGATTAACAAAGCTTTTTCATTAATATTCATTATCAAAAAACTCCACATCCAAATGATTTAGTTTGTCGACCAATAGGTAAACATGTTTGGCGATGACGCTTTTGTTTTGTGTGAAACATGTTTTAAATCATATATTACTGTCTTTTGTGTTATCATTCTAATTCACTATATAAATAAACTTAATTTCCCTTTTTTAAAAAGAAATTTTTGTACTTTCTTTTCAGAATCATCACAATTTAGGAATGGAAAAATACCCTTCTATGCCAAATATTTTTTTCTTTCGGAATATAAGCAAAGTCAAGACCACATCACTTTAAAAACATTTGAATAAAAGTACGAAACCATCTATTCTGATGATCCTTACATGTTTGTAAAATTAAAAAAAAATGGAATCTAAATAAAATCTGATTGACAACATACATGTAACTTTTTTTTAATGCATAGTGATAATGTGAATTTGGTTCATGTAGTACATGTACTTTCATAAATTAATGACCATGTTAGCTATACCTGCTTTGATGTAATTCACAGCCTCTAAGATGTGCTGAATCAGGGGACAAGGGGAAACAGTCTCCTTCTCTTTGTTGTACGACAGCAAATTTCTTCTTAACAGAGGAAGCAGGTGGTGGAATTTGTATTCCGCAAGGTTTTTATATTCTAGCAGGGAGATATGTAATATGTAAACTATATTTCCAAAACTCGAAGCTTTTTTAAAGATCTTTTTTGCCCTTACTTAAATTATTCATCGTAAGTGTTCCACTAAAAGGACAAACACTTTATTCCACATAAAACACAAATATCAAAAAAAAAATCCCAAGTACATATACATGTAATTATGTAGAGTTTTAAAAATTGACTAAAATATAGGTCAGCTTTAATTTTAAGAGGACTTTATCACTCTCGTAACATAACTTCTCGATTTACACATGCATCATGTATAACAGATTCTTACTTAATAGTTTTGCATTTGCTGCTATCGTCGATTGGCTTGTGTACTTGATAATAACAAGAGTCTTTACTAAGTTGTCACTCTGTTCTTCGCTAAGATGTTTCCATCGATTTTGCAACTGTGTGTCTAAAAGAAACAAGAAACTAAGTACAAATCTAAAAAATAATTCAATTCTGTATTTGAAGAATAGTTTTGAAAATGTCCATTTTTTAAAAAAAAAATCCTACTGAAGGGAAATCAATGTTTCTATAGTTATGTAGCAGAAATATTCAGTAATTTTCAAGAAAAAACTTACTTATCCTCTCTGGATGAGGAAGGAATTCATCGCTCAGTACCTCAATGATCTGTTTTACCATTAACTGTATAACCTCATCAACAGATATCACATTATCCTTCATCAACAGACCTAAAACATATTCATTATATATGGATGTGTTAACGTAAAAGTTAGATATAATTACATTTACAAAAACTAACATCTGGGTAAATGTACATCTTTTCTGGCACTGTTTTATTGATAGTAAAGGTAAAGAGATGCATAAATCAATAAAAAAATTGTGCTGTAAAAATTTTCCTTGTGAAAAATATTACCTGCATTGATAATAGCTGGTGGTATACCGTCACATAGTATGACTAATTGTCGACACGACTTCGTTTCCTCTGTACAGGAGGGCCATACATCATTTAATAGTTCCAACGACTCACTTTCCGTCAAAGCAGGAATCCTCTGCATCCAGAATACCCTCCAAAACTCTGCAAAACGAAATTCGTCTGTGGAAGAGATAATCAGATAAAAGTTGCAGCATTCTGTAAGCAGTGGTTTGACGACCTCTACATATATTTGATCCCAGAGGGTTTGGTTTGTTGAATCTGTAAGGTTTCCATTCGAGTCTGGTTTAGACTTGGCTTCTTCTTGATGGTCATGGTGAAAAATGTAAACATCCTCACTGTCTTTCAGAGTCTTAATTATCTTTCGTATGCATCTGCAATTTGTATGTGAACAAGCTTCACAGTCCTCTATGCTTAAACATCCAGCAACAGTTTCAACGTACACTTTATAACTTTTAATGAAATGAAAATCAAGAGCGAGTGCTTTCACTTTAGAATTTTTATCAGATGCCAGAATTCGAAGAAAATTTTCCACATATCTCGTTTTGCCGACACTCTTGGGACCATAAATTCCGAAAATTCTGTTCTGACCATGATTCCAAGCTGCTTTAAGATTTTCAGTACATTCCACTCGTCCGACAAATACATCATTCATTTCCATGAGATCGTGGCAAAACCGTTGTTTAGTTTGGTGTGTTCAGCTGTCATAATTTCAATGAAAAATCCGTCACCATTTGGAACAAAGCGAGCAATTCTGGCTTTCTATTTGCAATTTGTACAAATTCGGAAGTACAGTTGTTATCTCTCTGCAAAATGAAACACATATGATGACTTTCATTTGTTTACAGAAAAGAGATGATGAGAGATTCGTACAGCATGAACAAAACAGCGTGCTTGATATGAAGAAGAATAATTATTCTGTGATATGAATTTCCTTTCAGGATAAATACATGTAGGAGTGGCAGGGGGAAGATACTTGTACATTGTACTCTTTTGTTACGAGAGGTACTTAAAGTACTTGAAATTGTCACCTACCAGCTTAAAAAATAATATTTTACAGATTTATTGGAAAAAAATTTAATTGAAAATCTTTTAGTGCTCATATATCTAAAACTTTAACAATAAGAGAAATTTCTGAGACCATGGGTTCACAAACAGTAACCAAATGATGTAAATAAAGTCCTCAAAAATTCAATTTTCGACTTCTTTTTTTCTGCTATGTGATATGAAATAAGGCCCCTGTCATATACACGTATATTTATTTACATGTCATTTATTCATTATATTTTTATTTTTTTTCCATGTCGACATGTTGCTGCCATCAATTTTGCATTTCTTCTTATGTATGTTATTTTTCACTTATATGCCCTGAAGGGTCCCAAATTGGCCCCAATAAATCTTATCTTACACGTTTACATGTTGCCTACTACCAATTTCAGAAATGCACATTCGGAAACTGCCTTTTTGATATGAGACTTTAATTTTAAAAGAAATTATCCCTAGGAAATTGATAATTTACAAGGCATTAAAATTCTTGTGTGTTGACAGTATTGCTCAATTAAATTTTTGGAATACTTATTATTCTTTTTAAACAACTCAAATGTTTAATATATTTTTTTTATAATTGTACTCAAATTCGTAGATATTTAATAAATTACAAAGGACACATGTTTTTGTTATTTATTTCGTTCACAAATCATTTTAAGATCACATCACTTAGACTTTAAACTTTATTTTCAGGAAATATTAACGTAGAAAGGCACGGATGAAAAATATAGACAAACCCGAAAATGAAATGAAAATTAAATGGTAAATTAAGATTGGATATGTTCGAAATTTTTTAAAAATTATAACTGACCTACTTTCATACGATCTGCAATTTTTGCATGATTTCGAAAACAAAAGCAAAATTCTTCAAGGAAATAATAAGTAAGATAAGTTACTGAGGTATTTAAAGCGTTTGTGATGCTCAAAGCTAATTCACATATGTAGAATCCATTCTTGGATAAAATCCCCCTACAGACTTCACTTAATGAAAGAAACCACTTTATTTACTCAGGAGGCGTTAAACTTTAAGAAATGTATTTCTTTCTCAGCAAATAGAAATGTTTACAATATATATGATACTGCTACTTAAGTGGAGTAAGGCAACATACAATATAATTTTCCCATTATATAGACATGTTTCCGGAGGAAACCAAATGCATGCTTATATTATTTACTCTCTGAGAAGGAAAAAATCGTCTTGAAAACTTTCGGTTTTTACCAGATTTTAGTTATCACAAGACATTTTGATCTAAAGCATGTATCTATAAGCAGGGAGTTGTTAAGTCCTACACGGAACAAAACAAAATTTGATTTAACGAGAACAAACTTTCCTGCTTTATATGCTGTTAAATTTCTTCTGGCACTTAGATTTGTAGGAAGTGTTGAGAAGAAATTGCCCTAAAAGTTTTACGTTGAAGCTGGGATAGCATTTAATAAGTTGCTGTTGAAAACGGAACTGAGTCACTTCTTCCGTAAAACACAAGAAGTATCAGCTTAATACAACAATATAAAGATCAATAATTATTTCCTTCCTTTTCATACTGCATAACATTTACTGATAATTATTTCATGTAAATATGTTAATCCTTCTGAAAACGAATAGCAATCCCACCTCTGATATTTTTTTTTGAGGTCCGTGTTTGCTCTGCTCCCGATTTGTATTGTTTCAATGGATTTTTGAGCTTGATTACTGTTTGTTATCTCTTTATTTCATTTATAAAATTCGCTGTGTCCAAATATATCCGCAATGAAAATAAAAATACATCTAAAAAGAGACAGAAGCAAAACATATCACATATATCGAAAGTAGTATTCCACAACACACATTAATTTTACTTGCTCAAAAATTAAACCATGTTTCAGTGATAAGAACGTGCAATACTGAACCTTGCTAAGACAACATTACTTGTACATGTATTAATTTTAGTTTACACTAGGCCGTGACTATTGTTACCAAGATTGACAATCAAAATTTGCTATTTAATTTTTTACAAGAAAGATAAATAAATGTTATCACAAATAATTCCTCTTTGGACTTTAAGAAAAGTAGAAAAAATAGAGATATTAACGCCTTTTGATATCCATAAAATTCTAATACATAATTCACAATTATTTACCCTAGATGGTACTTTTAAATTTGCATGAACGATTACCTCCCTTCATGTAAACACATTCATACGTAGTGAAACAGGAAGTGACATAGTTTTATAAATACATGTACTTTATGACCTAGTATCCAAAATGATGCCAATGAATCGGAATAATATAGATACTTATCATTCATAGAGTTCAAATTTCATTTTAGGCAGTTTCAGCTAGGGGAGCACGGCCCACAGCCGCACAGAAATTCCTTGATAGAAAATCTATCAGGTGTTCTAATTGAAATGAAAAATAACATCCATAAATTAGCATTGTATTCTATTGTTTAGTACGTACAGGCAAAATTCTGGGGACTGACGCACGGCCTCGTGTCCCCAGTTCTTTGGGGCCTGCATTAAATATGTGCATTTTATAAGTTGTACAACGTTTTAGTCAGAATTTACGATGTTTAAAAGAGAAAGATATAAATAGATATATTAGCACAAGTAAGTAAACAAAGAGGCATAGACATAACGCCAGTGTTTACGGCGTATGATTGATCATAAATGTTTTAAATCTTTTAAATGACCTGTATTTCAATTCTTATATAAGAAACATACATGTATAAAGGTGCACACTTACCTATGTCGAAAGAAGACGTTGTGTAGATCAATGTGTTGACGTGTTTATAGATCCCGCACATTATATGTTTCGAATGCAAGTTCAAGGCTATATATTGGAGAAAACCCAGGATGTATTAATATTCATATTTTTAATCCTACTTAGATTTTAATGAATAGAACATATATAAATCAATGATATTAAGGGATAAAAACGAACTACACCCAAGTACAGTGCACTTAGCTCACAACTCACTTAATTTGTACAGATAATACAATAACAACTCTTCTTCTTCTTCTTTTTTTAAATTTAGGTTAAAAATGGTTTTTAAACATGCCCCTCCGACCATCAAATTTTCTCATCATATCATTTATGGAATGAAAAAGTTACGGACAGAATGGGGATGACGGTGGTATGGTCGACTTTATCTTCATTATTTTCTATGTGCAATATTATAGATAGATTAGTTCTTGTTTAAGGTCAGATGACACGTTCCTCAATAATATATAATTTTTCCTTTTTGTCATTAAAGTATTGCTACTTTGACAAGTTTCCTCACAAAAAAAAAAAAATTGAGGTACCTTACCAGACATTTGTGCAAGATACCAGACATTGGTGTTTCCTATATATAATCCTTTTGATAATCTTTTGAATTGCCACTATTACAATTTTTGGTACATTTTGGAAACAATTTCGAAATCACAAGAGAATGACAATTATGAATATTTTATGATATTTTACGAAGAGAAATTAGATATTTTAGGAACGTGTCATCAGACCTTAAGTATTAACCTTAAACACTTAATCAGAGTTGTTCTCTGTTGAGAGACAGCATGTGTTCAGACTTATGACAGTGTTTTTAAAATCATAAAGTAATAAGATCGCCACGTAAATTGCAGTGACATTAATTCGAATCTACATATATAATGAGTATACCCGGTATGCCGACTACAGTCCTGCATGAAAAAAAATCAGACAGTTTAAGACCAAACCTTGAGACCAAAAAATGTCTGATATTTTATTTTCATACAAACATATTCGGCATATATCGTACTTAAAACGCATTGCCCTTTAAACTTCATTTGATGAGGGACGTTGGACAGTCCGATATTTTAAGAATTGACGAATCGTAGCAATTCTTTCAAGAATGCAGGCTTGAATGAAAACTGCTCAGTAGTCTTTATATAATCAGCAATATAAATGCAGTTTTTGGAAGTTGTTTGGAATGAGAGTGGGGGTAAAAAATTCTTCACCTAAAACACGCACAGAGTTTAAAGCAAATTATTGGATTAAGATGATAAGGATAATATAGTGAATAATATTCTTTCAACTGCCATCAAAATTTTATAAATATTATGAATTCTGTGGAAGATTACGCCGGGAGATGGGCCAAACATGAAAAAAAACCCCGACCTTGACACTTTTGTCAGAATGGATTAAAAGCATCAGATGGATGTTGAAATCTCGCATTAAGCGATTGAGGAGCAATATGAAAACCATTCATCCTTCTGTCTTTAATAATTCACAAGTGAAAAATGATTAAATAGATAACATGATTAGTATGTACTCTGACAAAGCAGGTAACAACATGGTCTTTGTTTGTAAGACTCATTATTCAAATTGTATTTTAGAGGAAATGGGATTTAATTCTGCAGGTGGAAATCCAACTTATACCTATAGCTCCCTTTCTAAGGAGGAAAGTTTTCAAAATCATATGTCAGTTTTAAATATTTTTAATATTCCCAACAACCAAACTGATTTGAATTACCATATCTATACCGGATTTCTGAACTACATAAAAATCATTATAAACAAAGATGCATAGCGGGTTACATTCAATGTTCTACCAAGCCTATTTCTTCACTCCTCACTAAAATACTAACAGTAATGAAAGAGAAACTTCAAGAGTACTGAACAACAGAACATTCATGAAGTGGTGTTAATCAGATGTGGATACTTAAAATTCCAAGGAACTTTGAGAAAATTTGAAATCACAAAATTTTACCGAAATCAATAACGTCAAAACGTGCGACTTTACAACACTTTATACAACAATTCCCCACGATAAATAAAAATCCAATCTTTTTGACAAGGTAGACAGCTGTTTTTTCAACAAAAATGGATCTCGTTAATTTATTTACCTTGTCATTTGTCATTTGCAAAAATATTTTGTAAAAAACATTCTGATTGTACACATAAGTACTCTGAAGTAGATATTAAAAAGATGCTTGAGTTTCTGATTGATAATATCTATGTAGTTTTTGGGGATCAAGTCTTCCAACAACCAGCTGCGCCCGTTATTAGTAGACATTTTTTGTATTCATATGAAGCAGAGTTTATTCAAAAACTAATACTTGAGAAAAAGAGGACACTTGCTGTGGCCTTCAACTCGACATTTAGATATATCGACGACGTATTTTCAATTAATAATAGTTACTTCCATTCATATGTCGACTCGATATATCCCAGTGAACTTGATATAAAAGAAACCACAGAGTCTGACACATCTGTTTCATATTTGGATATTTTACTAGAAAAAAGACGTTGATAATTATCTAACAATAAACGTGATGACTTCAACTTTTCCATCGTCATCTTCCCTTATTTATGTAGCAATATATCCTTGTCACCTGCATATGGGGTTTATATCTCCCAGTTGATTCGACACCAAGAGCATGCTCCACGTACGAACAATTTCTAAAACGAGGCAAGCTATTGACAAACAGGTTGATGAAACAAGGATATCAACAGTCTCGTTTAAAGTCTATGGTCGATACAATGACCTTGCATTGTCAGCAAAAACAATCTATCGAATGCTGATTGATTAATGTTCGTTATTTTCATATTTTATTTTAGGAATGGAAAAGAAATGTAGATGTGAACCCTGATTTAAACTGAAAATAGAAAATAAGGCAGAGGCTGAAGGTATATAAATTTCTAATTGACAATTTACTGAATAAAGATTTCAGGTTTAATGAATTGTAAATTCGATTTAATTGTATGTTTAAGTTTTCATTCTCAATTCTAAATTATCAAAACATTATCTGTTTAAAGTAATTATTGTGTATGTATTATTACACTTTGCTGTTTGCTGATTAATGACTTTTTTCTATTAGTTTTGAAGGGTATCAGTACTGAGACAGTCTGATATTACACTTAATATCAGACGGCCCTTTAATATCGGCCTACCAATGGTATATAAACTGAAAGAACAAAGGAATGATATCACGGCAATGTTTTTTAATCTATAAATTGTATATTAATTGTTCATTTCAGTAAGGTTGGAAACAAATATCAAGTAATTAAAGAAAAACAGTACAAAATAAAAAAGACTTTATTATAATCCAAAGAATTTTTATTTCAGAAGCAACAGCTTACAATTGACTTCTTAAAAAGCATAAATGAAAATAAAAATTAATTCTCTCAATGTATCTCCGTTGTAATGAATTTAAAAAAAAATAATGTTAATTATTGACAGCGATTTACAGGTCACATCATACATAGGTGGTCATCTAAAACATGACGACCATTATTTAATTTTAAAAAAAAAAAAAATAAAAAAAATAAAAAAAACTATCAAAATTAAAATAAGTAAACTGAATTTATTAGATGGAGGCTTCATACTGGATTACTATCTTTTTATAATTTAATTAAGTAGAAAATGAAAATGTTGCAAAAATTGGGAAAAAATTAAATTCCTACATTTCAAATGTAAATTATTTTAAAATAATTGATGATAAGCATTAAGTTATCATTGTCTCTTGAAATATGACCTAAATATTTCAAAGTGTCCATTTTTTTTGTCTTTGGATTCCCCATTTACTAAATGAAAAAAAAAATCATCGCTGAAGAAATAGACACCTGTCAAAGTGTAAAAAAAAAAAAAAAAAAAAAAAAAAAAAAAAAAAAAAAAAAAAAGACGAACACATGTAGAGAAATAATAACCTGAAAAAAAAAATATACATAAGGCATAGAGAAAGAATTCAGTAAGAATTATTAAATATTTTGCAAATATAGGAATGTATTGTAACATAATAACATTTTTTGTTTGAAAATTTCCCATGAAATAATTTAATTTTGGTTGTAACGCATCATTTGAGTGGATAAAAAAAATAGTTTATTTCGTATAACCTGTGTTATCAATCCGTTTGACGTTACATTTTAAATATGTATAATTTGAAGATATTTTTAAAAGATAAATTGTCTTTTTGACTACTCTTAATGATAGAAAATAAAGTCATAAGGAAATAAATTTAATAGCTACCCAAGTTATACTGGTATAATCTGGTTTGGAACAATTAACACTTTTTTTATAAACAGCTTCGAGGTTTGTAAAGCGTAAACTGCCCCAGGTTATACGGCATAACTTGGGTAACTATTAAATAAATTCCTTAAATTATTAAATGGAGAGTAAAACTGCTTTCATTGATAATGATTTTTTTCGAGAAAGCCACTCAACGAGATTATATTGTATAATACACTTTTTAAAAATACAGAAAACTGATCGTATTTTATCCCGCAAAACTATGTGATAAAGTGCACTCATGTAAAAGCTTTAAATCTCAGATACAATTGATATCGTCTAACAGGCTACTTGACCATTTTCCACACTGTGTCTGTAGCTAAGAGTATGACACATTTCTTCTTGTTATCTTCCACTTTCGAATATGTCAACAAAAATTGTTTAATAATATCGTTATCATAATGATTTTCTCTGTATTTAGATTTTTGACATGTAATGTGACTCATCGAATCTGATTTTGGTGTAGTTTTTCCGGTGTATATATGCTAATGTTCCTTACCATAAACTGGTAAAACATCGGTCCATGAAACTAAATGGTCATAGGGATTTTTAAATCGTATTAGTAATTTTATTGAGATACTGTAAAGTTTCTTCCCAGATCAGTATATGAATAAATAAGTACTTCACAATTCTTCAAAGTATACAACTGCGTCTATCTCTTTAAAATTTAAATAGTATTTTATTTTTCGTTTTGACACTGTTTCATTATCCTTAAGGAACATAGACTATTACAGTAGCATGTCAAAAAATCTTATCAGTAGACCTGTCAGACACTTACCTCAGT